GTGTCCTCCGGGACAACCGACGATTGAGGCAGTAAGGTGCCAGCTTGAGAGGAGGTGGTAGTAGGGTACCAGCCGATCCGACCGTGGAGAGGAGCCCTAAGTAAAGCAGGTGTTTTCCCGCGTCTCTCATGTAGTCCCTTGTTCTGGGAGAGATAGCGTCACTGTAGTGGAAGGGATCCCACCACCTGCCAGCCAAAGAGGCCCCAAAGAGTAGAGGAGGGGTAGACCCAATTCCATGACAACAACTATCGGTAACTGCGTTCGTGTCCAACTAGGCAGCCTCTTACGGGAGCAAGAGAATAGAGAGATCGACCATAGCCTGTAAGCTGTTCTCTCCTACTACAAATGTAGTCCCGGCCGTCTGTTGAAGGTGGAAAGGGGGGTTGCCGACCATGCCAACGCCTAAGCGAGGCGGGATAGGAAGAGGGGAAACATCATGAAGATGCGAGGCCTCAACCAAGGATTGAACCGAGGGAATCAAGAAATAAATCAGGACCCCAAGGGAGAGGGGAAGCGAGCCCACCTCCTATAGCCGAGGCTAGATGGAGGGAGATGGGGGGGGGTGGTGGTGCTAGACGATGAAAGCCACAATAGTAACCATGGTGTTGAGTTTTCAATTGCCGGAGGTGTAGCGGAGACGGAGGATGACTTAAAAGCTAGGAAGGCACCTCGATATTTATATTCCGCGTCTGGGTGGTCGCGGCCTACATCCAATCCCTTACTGATTATGTACCTGCTATACTAATGCTTCAAGGTCTTTGGAGTGCGAACTCCGTTTGACCCTGAAAACTAACTTCTCCACTCTCTTCCTCAGTGCAGTGATCAGCTCCATTAAAGGACTTATCAATGACTCTTCTATGTGCATAGCTTAGAGTGCATGACAAAGATAACTAACTCGACCAGTGAGTAGTTATTAACCAATCGTAACTAGGTCTTCCGGATGACTCTAGCTTATGCCAGCTGAAGGGACATGCATATTACTTCTTATAATTGCATATAGACTTGCAGAGGTCGTAGCTCTATAACTAACCGACCAATCTGAACCAACTAAGTCTTATCTTATAGAGCGGAGCTCCTTCTATGTTATCCAGCGAAAGCCCCTCAGTCGCATGCCTTGTATCTCCACTGTGCAGGCTGCATAGATGCCTTATCGTTCCGTGCAATAATATGATATCCTCATGATAACTACGGCGGGGCCTGGAGTCGAACACATGACCTTATGCATTTAATCACGTGCCGTACCAATTACGCTATTAAGTGTAACACATATGATGTTATGATTTTCGCATATGATTCAATTTATAACTCATGGGTTTTACTCAGGTAACACGAGTTGTGCACCTGACCTGATTATTATGTTTTGATTCGTTTTAGGTATGTTGCACAGTGACTCATAGGAGTTGGCTGAGGGATTTGGCATGACTCATAGTTATAAGTCACAGGATTCGCAGGTGCAGAACTACTATATCAGGGATCGCTAGGACCCCGAATATTAGTTCTTCACAAGTTCTTCTTGTTTATTTCCTACCTTTAAGTTATTGAAATAAAACCTACCTTTACACTCTTTAAGATTTATCTTAAGATACCTGAGAAATTGTCTTTCCTCCCAAGCGAGAAAACTATTTCTCCTCCCACGTCGAATGACTAAGTCCTAAGCAAGGACTTAACAAGATTAGAGGAATAGGCGTGATAAGATAGAAGTCGAAAGGACTTAGCTATCTACATCGCATAGGCATTGGCCTAAGAACTATTACCTCAATATTTATTAAGAATCGTTACCTGTCCCACCCCAGTGCCCGGTAGGATTCTTGACAGCGATGTCGATAATCAAGTCCTCTTTGACTTCTATCTTATTGCGTCTATTCCTCTGATCTTCTTAAGTCCTTACTTGGGACTTAATTGTTCAACGTGGGAGGAGAAATAGTTTTCTCGCTTGGGAGGAAAGATAACTCTTAGGTTTCTTAATATGACTCTTAAAGAGCGTAATAAGAAGGTTTTATTGTAATAACTTTAAAGGTAGGAAATAAACAAGAAGAACATGTGAAGAACTAATACTTGGGGTCTTCATGATCCCTTATATAGTAGTTCTTCACCTGGCATGACTCCTACTTCACGTCACGCGAACCCTGTGACTCCTAACTATGAGTCACGTGAAATCCATCAGTCGACTCCTATGAGTCACTGTGCAACATAACTAAAACCAATCAAAACATAATAATCAAGTCAGGTGTGCAACTTGCGTCACCTGCGTGAAACCCATGACTTATAAATTCAGTCATATGTGAAAATCATAACATCATGTGACTCACAACTGTGAGTCATGAACAGGTAAACATAATAACCTATGGCGCACTAGTGTGTGTCATATAAAATCCCAACATACCTATAGCTCGGAATTCTGAGCTACGTAAAATCTGCCTTGCTTAATCACAGTTTGTGACATTTACCCATGATTATGCTTCTATGTATAACAAATAAATTAAACAAGATACATGAAATGAGTTAGGTGATGTTTGAACTACCATGATTCTGATTTAAAATTGTGATTTGACTACAAATTATGATTTGAAATCAGATAGTATTTGGTGTACCTATTTTTGTATTCCAATCTCATATCTGATTGTGATTTGAAATTTATATACTTGATTTGACACAATATTGAACAATAATTCCTTTAGAAATAGGTTAGAGTAAAATAATTGCTTGTAACAGTTAATAGAAGAGGTATTGGTTTTAACATATAAATATTATAAATTCGCAAATATACACAGCTAAAAAGTTACTAATATTAAATCAAATTTGCTATCACCTTGATTATAATTATATTACATGCATTTTTTAAAGCTAATAAGTATATCATAACTATTTATAAGAGTTGAGGCCCAATCAAAATCCAATTAAGTGGTGTTTGGCATGTCCTGATTTCAAATCAAAATATGTAGTTGGCCAAACACCTTCTTTAGTATCCTGACAGTCTGTAAAGAAAAATAACCTATTGGCTCTAGACACAGGCATTTTGTATTTGACAAGACAGTATTTTTTGCTGATGTGCTTACTTATCATAACTAGTTTCTATGTTTCTTTCAATTACTAGATATAGTATCATAGTAATCAATACATATATCTTGACCCTGAAACCAGAGTTCTAGAATGTAAATTCTTATCCCAAATTGCCATACTGGTATCATCATAGCTTGTTTTGCATCACCTTAGCTTGGAATATAGTACTTGAATGACTTGAATTCTGTTCACTTAATCCTTTGTATGAACTTGAAGTCCAAATACTTAGTTCTATAAACACCATATGTACAGCTACTCAGGTTGGAAATGGTCCATGCTGTTTAGGAGTAACTCCAAAGGGAAATAATTGTTAATGCTAGAGATCTGCTTATCTTAGTAAATACTATGATCTTGATCTAAAAAGAAAAACACCTGGAAACTATGATATAAGATTGAGTATGGACGAAACGACTTTGTCTTTTCTGCCAGTATTCGATCAAGCATCCAGAACTCTATACCCCTGACTGCCACCCACCACCAACCCTGTCCAAGATGCTTCCTCTTTATTAAATCCTTCGTTCGAAACACGGGTGCTCAGTTGGCTCGAGCCACCGAATACTCCAATCAGAACCCGGGCTCCATCTGATCTCATTTCCACATTTTCCGATTTTTTTCTACCGGAGGCTGTAGATGTTTAGTATCAGTTTACTTACAACCATACCCCGCTATCCTGGATGGCCAAAATCTGAAGAATCTGTTCAGAACAGCATGGGATCTGGGACTATGGGTGTTAGTGGAAAGAAATTCAGAGGTCACAGATATTCATCCGGGGCAGCGGCAGTGAGGTATCTGGATTAAGACCCAGGATCAAGGGGGTGACTGTACAGTACTTGTACATCGGGGCTAGGTTGTCATGCAGTCGGTATTAGGTTTTACTATTTTTTTCTCTGCCCCCCTCTTTAGTATTATGGAATATATAGTGCAAATGGACCCAAACCGGGTCCTCCAAATACGCCAAATGTGAATCCTAACTAGTCAACCACAACAAGAAATTTTGCAAAAGAAAAACCACTAGGTTGAAGCAAATTCCATGGAGAACAGGGTAGCGGTTTTTCTTTTTGAATAAAAGGCTGTCAGCAAAAGTAGTTAAAGATTAAAAAGTGAAAATTTTGGTGAGAGTGAAACAAGTGATACAATCTACATACTGCTATGCTAAAATATACTGTGGAGTGGATATAGGTAGGGTAAACAATAAAAAACCATGGTCTGAAGACAAAAGGTTAGCACAAGGTTATGGAACAGTTATTTGAGGTTAACCAGTTAAATTTATTACTGGTTAAGGAGTTCCTACCCTTATACCCTATTTCTATGGGCATCTCTTGTCATTACCCGGATCGGTTGCAACAGGTTTCACCGGAATTCCTGTTTCATCGGAGGTCCCGCCTTTAGATGCTTTGCATCATAGTACTCCTATTCTAGTTAGTATAAGGTTACTTGGGGTTGTGTACTCGAGTAGTGGTGGCAAGTATTTACCACATATGTCCAGTGTATTGCTGATCCCGTTCAGGAACTGCGCTAAAAGGTCGTGAAATTGGGCACGAACCAAGGGATATCGCTTGCATCGTTGTGGCGCTTGATGCAAGCAGTAACCGAGGGGGGAAGGCAGACCGCTAGTCTAACTCGGACTACCGGCCCCCCCAAATAAGCGGAAGAGAATGGACAGGCAAGTACTCGTACAGTAAACAAATCGGTTGTACCGCTCAGACGGAATCCTCGGGCTCCTGACGGAATGGAATAAAGTGGATGAATTGTCCACTATTCTGCCGCCCCATGATGGTCGTGTCAACCCGAGGATCCCCACGGTGCATGTTGGTTTGATAGGACGTCGTGAGCGACGGAAAAAAAGATGGGGGTGGGAGGGGAGAAGGGGGGAAGGGTCGTAATATCACACAGGCACTCGAGCTCTCTAACTTACTGTAGAGTGCAGTACCCGCACTGATTCCTCCTGCTGCTGCAGATCAACCGCACGCCCGGCAATGGGACTGGTTGCCGTTATTTCCGCGCTTCTGTTGGAGCCTTAAATGTAATGTAACACGGCGGGCGGGCTGGTGGAAAGAGTTTCTCCGAGACTTCTGGTGGCGGGCTTTTTTTATCGTTCGATTGAAAAAGGATCACGCTACCGTAACCTGGCAAATCAAATCACACTCACAATGCGCAAATTTGTACGGTAACGGTCCGGGAGTATCCGCTTTACTTCGTTCATTAAGCTGACACGTTTGTCCAAATACATGCCCGTTTTGAAGGAAAAAAAAAAAAAATAATACAGTTCCACGACGGTGAGGTAGTGGAAAAAAAAAAAAAAAAAAAGATAGAGAGAAGGAAAACTAGGAACAGAGAATGAAAATGACATGCGATGCTCAATGATCTGGAACCTTAAAGCTTAAATATGTTGGATGAGAGGAAAAAGGAGCATTAAAAGGAAAAAGATATGATCACGAAGGGTACAAAGCCAGAACATCAGAGAGAATTATTTGCCCATATCATTGTATCAAGCCACACCAATTTTGATTTCCGTCATACCTCCACCATTCCACAAAGCCTTAGACGCCAATAAGGGCAGCCCCAATGGCGATACCAGCAACAACGAATCCCAGGCCATACGCACTACCAGCCTCCATAATAAGACTTCCGGCAGCACTGTTTGAGTTTGATCCAGACGAACCAGCAGCAGTGGTACCAGTGACTACAAAACCATTGGCATCTGTGGTGGTGAACACTGTGGGTGCAGAAGTCTTGGAGGCACTTTTGGTGCTGGTGATGGTAGAGGTATTGAGACGCTGAGGATCGGTAGCACCACATGGCCTATTTGCGGTACACTCGGACTGACATTTCGAGTTACCGGTGCAGGCATCGGAGCAACCCTTGACCTCGGCCTGGCAGCGGAAGTAAGGGATAGTTTGGGAGTACCTGGCGTAAATAATCAGCTATATGCATTCTGGGCAAACCTTTGAATCGATAAAAGGGAGAAGTTTACTCGGTCAAATTGGGCATGGTGCCATCATTGCAAACACAGTCGTAAAAGAGATTGTCCTAGGGATCTGTTAGAATATATTTGGGGATTTACGCAGGGTGGTAACTCACCGGGAAGCACTTGTTCTGTGCGGCAGTCTTATCCTGATCACCGCACAAAAGAGGGCATGCAGCGGTTTGGGCTTTGCACCACTGGGTCCTAATGGCCTCTGGACTAGCATCACAACAAGGCCCGTATTAGCCGTATCCAAGGAATAGTTAACAATAACCCAATAGCAGACTTACACAGCGGAGACATTGAAAGGAGGATACGTCTGCGCAGACACAGACAGGACAGAGCAGACGGCAAGAAAAGCGGTGAAAACGAATGACTGCATTTCGAATTTGAGTGTTTGTTTGCTGGAAGAGAAACTGCTGACTCGTCTGGACGGAGGAATTGATTAGCAATGGTTCCGCGTTCCTCCGCGATCCGAGATGATCAAGTCAGGGAGGCCGGGGGAATAGGGGTACACTTGCGAGTGGAAAGGGCTATGACTATCGTGAAGGGGGGGGGGGATATTAAATAGGAGCAGTTCTCTCTAAACGAGTGTGAGATGTCGAGCCTGAGCGAGAGGTTGGGGGAAAGGAAGAGAGGAGGGGAAGGGGTGGTGGTATGAAAGGTTGTTTAATAAGTGGAGGAACGAGTGGACGAATTATTATTACTACTACTGCTACGGGTATCAGGTGGAAGAGGGAAGAGGGAAGAGGGTAAAAGGAGGAGGTCGAGGAGGAAGTGAGGTGGAAACAGGCCAAAGGAGGGAGAGGGAAGGAAGGGAAAACGCCGGGGGGGGATGATGCGGTGAACGAGGGGGGGGGGGGGAGCCTTCCCGTCCACAGTGTGTCGTATCATACTTGTGCCGGTGTGTGAGAACTTTACTGTACTCGTACTTATAGCTTTGACATTCTGTAATCGTACTCTAGCACCGGCACAGAATTGAATTGAAGGAATTGAAGGATTCCTACCCTACGAGACTCCAATGAGAGATGGACTTGGCAGCCCTTCACACCCCTCCCTTCGCCTCTTCTCGGGGGTTGTTAACAGGCATTTCTACACTTGCACATTTCTCTGCACCCTAACACCCGTTTTTGGCTCCGATTTCCATGTTATTTTTGTCTTGGAGGCGTTTGCTTGGGCATCTTAGAGGCTACCAAAGGTATTTCCGGTGTGGGCACGCGTGTGTGTGTGCGTGTGCGTGTGTGGTGTTCTGTCCCGCCTTCTCCTCCTTTCCGATCTTTCCCTCCCGGACCCAGCCCGCTGAATAAATAGATCCACCGATTGGGCTGCTCGAATACTCTCTAGGAGCGTATTTTTTGGAACTTACGATACGTACTCGAGTACCGTACTGCACAGTACGAGTACTTGTATATAGCAGAGTTCACCAGGGAATCCGATTCGCTATTCGGATATCGAATCACCCAACATCGTGGTACCGGTGCCGTTCGCTTACTGTACGGTACTCGAGTACTCGTACAGCACTAGTACAGTACAGTACGGTACAGTACCGTATCATAGACACTTTAAGAGCCCTCCCCCCTCATCCGTAACCTCCCCTTGTAACAACTAGCCTTTAGCTTGAAAGGCTTTCTATTGTACTGTATTCCATGCTGGTCCGTCCCACTTTACTATCCCATATCGATCCCCTTTAACCCTACACACCTTCCACCGCCTCCCCCTATCGCACTATGCTCTGGTGCCAACAGCAGCAGCATCCCTCGCAATCATGGACCGAGGGAAATTACGCTCTGGAAGAAGCCGCATACGATCCGCCGAAGATCGCCCCCATAAAGAAGGCGACGAAGTGCTCAAACCGATGCCTATAACGCTGATTGATCACACCATCACACCGAGTGAGAACAGTCCTTCGCTATGGGCTAGGAGTGCGAAGGTCGTCGACTACGTTATCGTTGCCGGGAGCAGGACAAGAGCGGGGGCTTATGTTGCGTGGAACTGCTCGATAGAGACTTTTGGGGTTTGTTTCCTTCGCTTGATCCAAGTGCGGTTCTGGGACTCACATTGCCTTGTCATCATGGGTAGGGAGCTCAATTCACAGTTCGCAAAAGGTACCGTACAGTATGCGTTGGCCGCTCGGCGCAGGAATGGAAATAGAATAAAAATAAATCGTCGTGATGGAGATCAATCACTCCCGTCTCGGGTACCGGTGTGCAAGATATGTCTGACATTGTCAATGCAATAGATACTCGGAATTTGTAACGCTAAGGGATGTGCTGCGAGAAACTTTTCCAAGATCTCTGGCTTCGTTACCTGCTCTGCCGCCAAAGAGTGTTGTCTGTGAGTGGCGCAACACGCTCAACATGGGAATGAGAATTTGACGATTAGCAGCAAAATTCCGGCCCAAGTTCCTCGAAGCACGGCGTCAAGGATTGTCTTACTTTTTATCGTGCGTTATAACATCGCGATTTTTTTTTTTTTTCACCTCCCCTTAAAGCGTATCTTTTGGACTAACATGTGGGGGAGGTGGTTGAAGGTGTATCCTCCTGAATCCTGAGTTCGCTGGTTCGCCTCCCGTGAAGGATTTTTTGCTTAACGCGGATGACTAGGGGGGGGGAGAAAGTTCTGCACTTTGACAGCATTTCCGCCTTTCTTTTTTTTCCCTTCTCTTTGAGCACTTTGGCTTTTTCAACCCAAGCTACCCTTGCAATCCCAACTTGCCGGACAATTTTTATTTTATTTCATATATATTATATGTTTTGCGCTTCAATTCTTCCCGGTAATGTTTTTTCATGTGCCATAGGTGTTATTATCTTGCTTGGTCTGCGGCTCTACTGTACTTGTATCATAAGGTACTGATGGCTTGTTGTAGCATTGCTGCCTGATCCCCCCCCCTCCTCTCTCTCTCTCTCTCTCTTCGGTGTCGAAGCTTGTAAAAATTCTCGTGGTTGGCCGGAAGACGGGCTGTCGGCTGAAAATGGGGGGGTTGTATGAGTTCTCGGGAGCGAACTGAATTGGAACAACTAAGTTATTCCATGTTTTGCCATCTAGTGTAGAGGTATCAAATGGCATTTGTGTTCCTTCACCAAGATAATTCTTTCTTTCCGGAGGGCAGGAGACAAGCCGCGCCTCTTGGTTGCTGCAACTTTTCAGGATGTCTCGAACCCGGAAAGTAGAGCCTCTCCGGGGCTCTCTGAAAACCCCGAGGGAACGCAAAAACCATAGGTAACTGCAGAAGTCTAGCAACAACTCTGGACCGAGTGTCGCAAATACTGTATCTGCCTTCGAATCTTTCCTTGGGCGGACGAACCCTCGTGTAATCCCTTCCTTTCGCGCGTAACCCCGAAAGGAAGGAAAAAAAAAAAACTTTACATTGACTGGATATAGAAGAATATGAAATCCCCCCTCAACAATGAAGCGAAAGGTCCCCCACATCATCCTTCGGTTCAGCAAACACGTCCCCGCTGCTGCTGCTCATACTCCCTCCGAGAGTACCATTCCCACAAACTCTACAAGGCCTGATACAACAGCAAACGATATGGCGCGACAATCCGATGCAGCCACGCGAACCAGCAAACGTAACGGGGGCACCACTCCCCTGAAGTCCTCCGGTGGACGCAACAAAAAGTCGAATAACCTCGAGCCTCTAGCGCAAGTCGACAGATTTCAGCCACCAGGCTCGCAAACCACCAAGAGAAAACGTGTCAATGATTTAAGTGTTGGCGGGGGAAAAGGGGAACTGCCAATTCCTCTGAAGAGAGCCCGGAGGTCTGCGGCTCCCGAGCAGCATGCAGGTCAAGCTTTCTCACAGGATGAGAAGGGCAAAAGGGATGAGGATAAACGGGTCCTCAGAAGTCAAGATTCAAAACTTGCTGAGTATGCTGAATGGTTGGAACCGGAAGATAGAGGTGTGATATGCTGTTCTTTTTTTTTCTTCTTCTTCCCCAACATTTCCCCCTACCGTCTAGTATATCATACGGAGCTCTTGATGTCTCGAGACTTCTCGTGCCATATGGCTCGATTGAATGCAAAACTGATTGGGAAACTACTTTCTAGATGCTATTGACTGGGGCGCACCAATCACACTTATTGAAGGCGACATCCCGGCGATTACCTTCAATGGCGACGTCATTGCTGGGGGCTCGGAAAACCGCACTGTTGGCGATGTTCATCGACCGAGTGAGGGTGCTGGTGATGCAAATGTCACGGGTCCTTTTCATTCTCCAGAGACGTCTGTCAACAACCTCACATATCCGAACCGTATTGCACCCGTTGTAGCGATTGAGGTTTCGCCCCATACTGCGCCCATTGTGACAATCGACCTTGAGGCCGAAGCCCGAGCAAGCAAGAACCGACTCCTTACGAAGTACACGTATGATCCACTTTCGGCTGATCGGTACCTTAAACCGCATCAAGGGAAAGTCAGGGAGGAGAAGCGTCAGCGCAATCTTGAACGCGAGAGGGTGGTATTTCAGAAGGCCCAGTACGAGAAGAAGTTGACGAATCTTAAATCCGAGGACTGGATGAAGATGTTTGGTCTTGCTGGATTAGTGGCATCTGTCAATGATGTCGACAAGAAGGCGCTCGAAAGGAGGAGAGCGACGATGATCAAAGACCTCGAGGCGATGTTGATAAGATACAACGCCTGTAAGGAGGAGGAGAGAAGACGGCGGGTAGCCAAAGGTGGAAGGGCTAGTGCGAGCCCTGTAAACAGCATGGACGTGGAGATGCGGAAGAGTTCTACCGAAGACTACGAAGTTCCTCTCGATGATGATGAAGATGACGATGACGAACAAGGCGTTGAAACAAGCGCTGGGTGGGCCGCGGGCGATGAAGTAGACCATCAACCTAACACTGTCAAAGAGCGTCGACAGAAACCCAAACAATCAAAACCAAAGAAGACGCCCGCCGTCGTTCCTGAACCCGGACCCGAGCCAAAACCTTTCACCTCATTCTACAATAACACACATGACCGAAAAGCCGCCGTGAGTGGTCGGAGGAGGACTGGACGAAACCTATCAGCGTTTGGTCAACCTCTGCCAGAACCTGAACCCCAGGAGTTTGAGCTGCCAGATGATATTCTTAATGCCGCTGCAAGGCACACAAGAGCTCGCAGAAGGGTTTCACGATAGCTTGAGCGCCAAACCCCAGGTGCACCCTCGTGCTGTTCTATGTATCATATAAGGTTTCCTTCTGTCCGCCGCAACGTGGTTTCGTGATGGTGCCTCTAGCGATTGGCGTACCGTCCTGGTCTTCTTTTCCTCTTTTTTTTTGTAGCTTCCGATGTATCCTTTTCCCTGGTTTCGTTCCTATTTTTCCCAAAAGATACACGGATTTTCATTTCCTTTCTTCGACGGTTCTGTTTCTTTTGCGCAGGAAGCTTGGGTTCCCTTCCATCTTTCCATCTTTTTACTTTTACTTTTGCGTTTTACTTTCTCTTCTTTTATCCGCCCCTTCTGGGTAGCACTTGGGTTGACGAGAATCGACGCTTTTTGCATTGCGAGGGTTTGTATTTTTGTACTTGTACTCTTTTAAGTGGCATATGTATGTACTCTGCTTGCCACTTGCGTCGCTGAGGAAGGGGGCCTTCATACATGGCTAGTACGAGTAATTCACAATTTTTGTTGCCTAGTTTAAGGAAATAGGTAGCAGTAATTTTTTAGAGCCGTGACTGATTCGAGAATCGGTCATGCAACTGGAAAGGTTATGACAATTTTGAGAAAAAACGGTTTTTCTATTGCGACTGCGGAAAGATGTGTCCAAGTGCATTTTCAGGGTGAGGGAAGGTCTACGGGCACGGGTGCTCGTGCCGGCATGTAGACTTGGTTGTCTATATCGTGAATATGCCTATTGTGGATCCGCGAATGAATCGAATCTCCCTTTGCAGTGGTTCTTGCTTCCCGCCATCAATTTTCCAATGCTGCAGACCGGATCTCTGGTGGTACTGCTGGCTTACAGTAAGGTGCGAGTAACTGTTGCTTAAGTTCTTCCATGACCTGTGTGAGCCTTGTATCATTGCCAAGAACGTCTAAACCAGATATAGTTAGTATGCAAGCGTTAACCGACTTCACACCTTTCAGTATTGATGGCCGCCGCTGACTTCTCGAATGACGCTCTCTGACTGAGCTATACCAACATCGCCCTCCCTGAAGGAGTACAGCTAATCGACGAGGCGCCTCCGAAGACCCGATCATCACTCGACCCGACTCAAAAGTCCCCTCCCGTGCATCCATCACGGCGTCCATTACTGCATTCCCCTTCGCCGCTGTCTCCCGCTGCTCCATCTCCCTCGTTTGACCTTACCGCGTCGGCTCAAACATCGTCAACACAAACTCGACCTTTTGCCAGCCTTTCGTGGTTCCCTTCGACCGCGTTAGCTCCTGTGGGTTAGGAAGCGTTCGGTATCGCGGGCGACACAGCTGCTTGACGTGCGCGAGGGAGGCTCCACCGTGGAGCTGGTTGGAGCCAACTTTCGATAAGTTTGGGGGGCAAGTTCAAGTCAGTGGGGGGAATTTGGGACCACGAGGCTGGGGAAAAGTAGTAGGAGGGTTCATACGGGATTTCTTTTTTGTCGAGGTGCGCCCTCCACCATCGAGCTTACCGGAACGCTTAAGAGGAGGACGAATAAGTGGCGAGAGTAGGGTCGGGGGAGAGGTTTTTTTCTTTCTTTTTTACTGCACCAGAAGCCTACACTACAATTATAATATAGACATTCTATATTTTTTTTTTTCCGGAGAGGAGGATCTGCATAGGATGCAAGCCCTGGGCGTCAGGGCTTAGGAGGAATCGAAAAAAAAGTCATCACCTTTTCCCTTGCTTGTTTCCTTCTCTCCTCCAACCCAACCAACAGTCTGCCCCACAACCAACCGTTCGATAACTCAGAAAACCAGTCTTCAGGGTCAGTACCATAATTGCCTCCAGACCTAGCGCCAGGATGCCCTCCGCCACGGAGCCCAGCGCCGCTGGGCACCCACAAAACCTGGGTTCGCAGTCAACCCAGGCACCACCCCCACCACCCCCACCGGTTTTCTATAGCCGGGGATTTAACATATAAGTTCCTCCAACCAATAACCCAAGGCATCGCGATGGAGAAGCTGACAGTTCCCTGCACAGGCCACCAGAAGGTTGCGTTAGATGTTAACATGGCAAGCAAGACGTTGAAGGTACGGAAATGCGCTTTGAGAAAAAAAAAACCCCCCCCCTCCCGACACTAAACATTTGTGCTGACTGTTATACAAGGGATGGTCTGAAATTACGGTTAACCCAACAGATGCTTCATTGCGGCAATTTAGATTGAACTGCAGGCAGTGCAGTGAGTGTTTCCGTGGTGCTTCGGCCTTCTGCAAGGTAACTAACGTTCTGGTGCGATTTTGTAGGGATTACCAGATGCTATGTCAATGGAAGAGCAACGGCTACACAACATACTGATCCATACCAGAATTTCAAGATGCATGAGGCTTCCACCGTGCACCAATATCATCAGTATCGGAAGAAGCTGGATACAGTGCTACACGACCCTCCTGAGCATGAACTTGTAATCAACCTACCTTCCAGAGTTAAGATCGAGCCCGTGGTAAGTTCAATTCTGTCAAGCTTTCTTTCTCTTTTCTTCTCTGGATTTCCGGAAAGCCTCCGGTTCGAATGCTTACAAGTTTGCTCTTGGAAAGGAATATTTCACCCCGGGCGTGCAACATTCGTCAACTCCGAAACTTCCAACAGGGCAATCTAAGACGGACTCTCCGGATGCTGCTGCGAGTGCGACTACTGGGATAATGACTTCGTCTCTGCTTACATCCCGGACAGACAATTCACCTAGCCCGTTCGCTCCGCTAACCATTAGGATTGAGTTTGTGGTTGAAAACATCAGGGATGGGTTCAATTTTGTCGGCTGTGACTTGGGGGATATGCGATACCCACATGCATATACGACACATTCACCTCTCCCTGGGACAGCCTGTGGCCTTTTCCCTACCCTCGATGGTATTCATGAACGGTGGACATGGGAACTTGAGATCACAGCACCGAGGACTCTTGGGGACATTTCGAAAGGGAGCTTGCCCGATACTAAAGATAGAAAGGGAGGTGCCAATGCTATAGTTAATGGAACCAACGGTCTGCCCAACGGGATTAACGGTGTTAATGGCGATCATACCTCTCCTGATGAGGATGTTGATGAAACGCTTGACGACGATAGTGATCTTGATATCGTTGTCATATGTAGCGCAAATTTAAAGGACGAGGTCTGTTTCTAAAGCTTTAGTCCTGGTCATGTACAATTGCTGATTTGGCGAAGGTTGACGGAGACAAACCTTGGAAGAAGACATGGAAGTTCGAGCAGACAATGGCAGTCTCTCCTCAACATATAGCAATAGCTGTAGGCCCCTTCGAACGTGTCAATCTTTCCGAATATCGTGATGTGGAGGCCGAAGAAGCAATGGGAATTATGATTGTGGATGTGATGGGCTATTGCCTTCCTAGCCGGGAAGCGGAACTCAGGAGTACATGCATGTTCATTCCAAGAGTATTTCCCCTCCTTCTGATACCTAGCGGTGTCGGCCAGAGTGTTGACGAGATACAAGGCCCTCGATTATATGTTCAAGGAGTTCGGCCAATACGTCTTCCAATCATTCAGCCTTTGTTTCGTTGACGATCTTGTTTGTGATACCACCGAGTCGGCCTCTTTGGTAATATGCAGTAACCGCCTCTTGTTCCCAGAGAGCCTGATCGATCCTATTGAGCCGGTTACTCGGACACTTACATACTCGCTTGCCGCGCAATGGGCTGGAGTTCATGTAGTTCCAAAGGATTGGTCTGATACATGGGTTATTGTTGGGATGGCGTATTGGATGGCCAACTGTTTTCTGAAGACCTTGATGGGCAATAATTGGTACCGGTTCAACCTCAAGAAGGATGCGGAGAAGATCTGCGAGCTGGATATCGGAAGACCATCTCTCTACGCCCAAGGATTCCAAGTCCCGATTGAGCCATCCGCCCTGGACTTTATCAAGCTTAAGGCGCCAGTGGTATTGACTATATTGGAAAAGCGACTGTGGAAGGTTAGCTCTTCAATGGTATTGCACCGCGTGGTTAGAAAAACCTTTCTTGGAGCAATTGCAGGCGATTTGAAGAATGGCTTAATGAGCACTCAACATTTCACCCGATTATGTGAGAAGAACAGCCACACCAAACTCGAATCCTTCTTTCAGCAGTGGGTATACGGTTCTGGTTATCCACGATTTGAGGTCTCCCAGCGCTTTAATAAGAAGAGGATGATTGTAGAAATGGGCATTCGGCAAGTGCAATCGTCGGAGACCCCGGCCGCACGGGTGACGTCTGAAAACTTTATGCAGGACGCGATGAATCACGAGCGCCATGTTGTTGTCGGCCCTACAAGGCCCGTCTATACTGGGCCAATGACTATTCGGATTCATGAGGCGGATGGAACCCCATATGAGCACGTTGTTGACATCAAAGAGGGTTATACAAAGCTTGATATACCGTACAACACTAAGTACAAGCGATTAAAACGATCCAGGCGACAGAAAGAGAGGGCTGCTGCTGGAGCTGGTGTGGACGTTAGCATTGATGCGCATAATGATGATGTTTTGCTCTACTGTCTCGGTGATGTCCTGCAGGCCGAGGATGAGGTTGTTGATTGGAAGATGGAAGATTGGTCAAAGGAGGAGGAAGACAAGATGGCTCAAGAGTCCTTCGAGTGGATACGCATGGACGCGGATTTTGAGTGGATATGCACTCTCAAGGTCAACCAGCCGGACTACATGTTTCTCTCGCAGTTGCAGCAAGACAGGGATGTCATCGCACAGTACGAAGTAAGGATACCTACCTCATGACTTGAATGCTTTAACCGATAGTAGCTAAATTTTCTAGGCATTGCAATACTTTTCTGGTGTCAAAGAGTCGGCCCTGATTTCTTCAATATTTGTCAGAACCTTGATGGATCGAAGGTACTACTGGGCTATACGCGTTGAGGCAGCGATGGGGCTTGCAAAGGTTTGCTTTGCCATCTTTTTTGGGGAAGAGTTGCTTGCTAACTGATCCAGTGTGCCACGGCGGAGCTCAATTGGATAGGCCAATTCCATCTGACCAAGGCTTTCCAGGTGTTCTTTTGTTTTCCTGAATCCTCGGTACCTAAAAGTAATGATTTCTCGGATGCTACTGCCTACTATGTTCAAAAAGCGATACCCACGGCAATTTCGCGCATAAGAAATGTGTCTGGTGCTTGCCCGACATCTGCGCAGCGCTGGATCCTGGATGTGCTGCGTTGGAATGATAACAATAATAACAACGTAAGCTGGCGATTGCTCAGCGATCGCACTTATATTAGAAGCTAACGAGTGCTTTAATAGTATGACGATTGTTTATACATCGCAACGTTGATGAAAGCACTTGCTAATACCATCACGATTACGAAGTTTGATTTGAACAACGATTTCGGGTATGAGGATGAGGAAGCTGTCCAGACTCAAAAGGAGTCAATCAATGAGATTGAACGGTATCTCCGCATAGATAAGTGGCAGTCTGTATACCAGAATGTCCTATCTGAGACAGCTATCGAGGTAACCATTGACTAGACGCAAGCGCGCAATGTGAGTATGGCTGACTTTTGGGATAGATTTTAAAAGACTGGATTCGGTCGGGGATCAAAGACAAAGACCCCAAGTTCTTCCTGTCATACACCCGTGAGGGGACATTAGATTCTCTCAGAGCCAAATGTTTCGAATGTCTGGTTGAACTCGGGGCGATGCATCAACCTGGGTTTGTCAAATACATGGCCAAAGTTATGGGCTCCGACCCTTCGCCATACCTACGCCATCGACTATGGAAAGTACTCGGAAAGGGTCTTGGCATGATTGCTCTCGGAAGCACCAAACCAATGAATAATAATGCCAACCCTGGCTTCGGAGAGATGACTTTAGTTGATGATTCAGTTGATATGTCGCATGAACGGCGGAATGAGCTTGCCAAAGAGACGATCGCTGGAGCAATTAAGAACCTGAAGGAGGAGCTTACAGACAACGAGGCTTTCAAGCAAGCCCTGTGGACCGCAGCTACGTAAGTGAACGTCAAGGAATTGCTTAGGACGATAATGCTAAATTTAAACAGTTCTCCAGACATTGGCCTCATTGAGATCCGCAACCTCCTCGACATCTGCAGTCTACTATATGAGGCAAAATCATCCCTTGTGGTAATACTCAGGCAGAAGGCGAAAACCTTCAAGTGTACCCACCTCGGGAACGTTAGTCTCCCCCCTCTTACTTATCATAATTAGCCTAGGAGATACAAGTGCCTCTTACTAACTTCGTTGTAATATAGTGCAAGATAGTAATCAAACGCGAGTATCGGGACTGGTACGCCTCACGCTCTCAACCACCACCATCGTCACGCCCTGCCGCTTCCTCAACCCATCAAGATTCCTCACACTCACATAACTCAACCCCTCGCTCTGGCCCGATCAAACTCATCACAAACCCAAGATCTCGCAACAGCTCGGGCTCTGCCAGGAGACTTAAGGCGGAGAGACAATCCTCGGGGCCCACGCCTAGGTCCACGCCTAGGTCCACGGCAAGGTCCACGCCTAAGCAGGCGGCGGCGGCGGCGTCGTCTTCTGGTGCTTCAAAGGCTTCGTCAGCCGCGGGAGGTACAGGGGCCGGATCGGCCCCGAGGCCGACAAAAATCGTGTTGAAGTTGAAGAGGCCCTTGCCGCAGAATGGTGATGGCACATAAGTGTAAGCGTAAGCTGGGGGGGAAAGCTAGGAGAATGGGAGAAGGGGGATGGATGGACATGGCGGGGGTTAATTAATTGTGGCCTGATATTTTATCTTTTTTATCTTTTTAAAGTCCATTGAGGGCTCTTCCCTTTCTTCTTCCCCATGATGCTTACCCTTAGCCTTTTACTCTTAGTTTTGCTTGCTTGCTTCATACGGTATGTATCATTAAAACCGACTCTTTTTTTCCCCCTCTTCATTTTTCATTCTCATCTTCATACCATTTCTCCGCTGTACATCCTTTCCTCTCTGCACTTGTCATCATCATTAGGCACCAACGGCGGAATAGGTCTCGTCTTCCTACTTGTGTTCTTGTACTCCTTCCGTGCGTTTCTTCTTCCTCGTTTTCGTTTTCGTTCTCCTTTCTTTCCATTGTCGACCTTTTTTCAAATAGGTATCATAGCATAAACCGGGAATTTGGGCGTTCTTCCTATTTTTACTTTATTTTTCTATCGCTTTCCTATGTTTTTGCCACTTGTATTCTGAACTGGCCTTTTTTCTTTTTCTCTTTTTTTTTAATCATCCCCTCGCTCAGGGGGAGCGCGGGGTGGGGGGGGTTTCTCGATTAAAAAGTTGGCTTTTTTTTTTCGTTTCGTTTCGTTTCATTTTTTTATTTTCATTATCCCCCCCCCCTTTTTTTTTTCAGTAGGTTAGCTGAATCATGACGGTATCGTAGGGAACGATACCCGCATCATACATAGTATCGTAGCGGCTCTCGGGGTTGGATGCAGCACTGTATGATAGCAATTTTTCATTCAGCTCTTTTTCTCGCCTCTTCAGTGATTACCGTAGTTTATTACATATATATCGCACAGTATGACACACCACGGCGGTATGGGTCGTCAAGGGTATGATGCGCAGTATATTTCCGCGATTCCGTGGTGCTCGCGGGCATGGCAAATTAGTTGGCGATATATATTGGTACTGTACGAGTAGTTGTGTTTGTATTTGTGTTTGAGTGCTGATATGTGAACTGTACGAGTGATTTACCGTACGTACTAGTTAGTACAGTGCAGTTGGCTCGTTCGTTTTATGATACTTATAATACTCTAGATTGTGGCATAATATTATATAAGAAGGTGCGGGAGGGAGGGTACGAATACTGTATCCTTTTTTTTCTTTCTCTATCTATCTATCTATCTATCCCTCTTTGCAATTTATCGGATAGTCGTGTGGTGCTGTACTGTACTGTGCTGTGCATGCAGAAGAAAAACAATAACTATTAAGTTACGGTACGAGACGGGATGCTGTTCAACTTACATTACATTACATGGCATGATATAAGTGAGGGTGGTTGTTACGGTACTGTACGGTAGTCTAGACGGCACGATCCGGGACTGCCGGGAATAAGGATAATTTAAAGTAAAGCTTAACTCGACGGTGCAACCTTTTCCCCTCCCCCCCTCCCCCTCACACATACGCACCCAAGAAACAGACAGACAATTGCAACTACGGTACACAACTTTATCGTACCGGTAAGCCCAATACAGTGCCAAATAATTTTCCGTTCTATATTCATTAATCGTCACTCGTTAACCTTTTTCCCTATAGTATAAATGGTATAGTGAAGTGCAATATACTTTCCCCTTCCCCCCCCCCCCCCACCAACGAGATAGCAAAGTATCACTTAAACCCTCTCTTAACATAACAAAGCAAAACATCAATTCCTCCCTCCACTTCCAATCCCCATCCCCGTCCCCACCCCCCCTGCACCCCCAGCAGCTCCAACTCCAATCCTCTCGTCCCTCCCCAGCCCTCTCCTCCCTTTCCCCCCCTGCCCGGCACTTTCCTCCTTACCACCACCACCACTCTTCTCGTCCGACTCCCGTCGAAATTCTTCGTATATCAGGACGTCGTTCGCGGTTAATTTTATCGCCGTCGGTTTCCTTCGGAGCATGGCTACTACTACTGCTACTACCGGCGTTTCTTCGTGTGTTCCCTTTTTCGTGAGCGCGAGCGCGGGCGAGCTTGGCTAATGCTGTGGTAGTGATAGTGCTGGCGGTAGCGGCGGGGGGGAGGAAACGTTAACGCAGACGCAGAAGGAGATACTCGTTGAGTTGAGGAAGAGTTTGGGGACTTTGAGGGTTATGTTTGTTCTTGTTTTTTTTTTCCTGCTTGGTTTGAGTGGGGTGGCTGGCTGATGACGACGGTAGAAATGAGACTTTGGTGAAGACGATTGCGGTAGCCGGCGAAATGGGTGGGGAGGATTCACCTGGTGGTGGTGGATTGGCGGAAGCACAGAAGGAAGCCGCAAGGGAGGTTAGGAGGGTTATCGGCTCGGCGGTTTGGAAGGGTGGTGATGAGGGGGAGAGCAGAAGCGGACCAAGGAGCGAAGGCGGCGGAAGGGGGGAAGATGGGCGGGTGAGGCTCTAAGTCATGGGGGGCAATGTTTCATCGGCTGTGATATGGTTAGGCAAGGTCAATGTACTCGTACCGTACTCGAGTAAGTTACAGCATAAGTAGTGGGGAATCCCGCACATCCATCAGCCCTGCCCCAACCTTCTTCTCCAAAATTGGTTCCGTTTGTTCCCAGACCACCCAAGGCATGATGAGAACTTATACAGGCAAGGGGAAGCCCAGACAAGCGAAAGCTAGCCAAGACGCCCCAACCACCATCAAATGCTCTATCGAGAGCCCCACGTTCTTCACCTCGAGGACAATTTTATCAAGATTACCGAAGTAGGGAATCACCTTTCAACTGGCAGGTTGGCTTTATTATCATTAATAATTTTCTAGAAAATTAGGGACGTCAAAGGGTCTCTTAAAGCACTTCAATGGCAGGTGGCTACAATATCTTGATGCTAGCCTTTAGGGGCGCCGCAAGTCCCATAGCAGCACTTCTAATTTATTTACTCGGGTTGGGGAATACTGATATATCTTTAGACTATCGCTACAGTCGCACCCCGTTGTTCCGGATTCATTTCTATGAATTATAAACTTCTTTACACCAAAACCGAACCTGTCGTCCCGGATAACTCGCTGTCCCGGACGGATTCTTAGGATTTTGGCCGTCCGGCGACAACGGGGTGTGCGACTGTAGAGTACCCGGTTTCTTCTTCCGCGAAAAATATTTCGGAACTGAGGAAAAGGAGTTAATGGCGAGTTCCCAATTGGCAATGCTGCTCGAGGGGCTGGTAGTCCATGCCGCGGGTGCCGGGGCGGCCGGAAAAAACCCAGGCGGGAAGGGGGCTAAAATGCCCAAAATTGTATAGAGATGGTTAGTGGTTCCTTATTCTTCTTTTGTTCATAGAATAAATTAGTAGAGGTGTTCAAACTCTAGGGGGCCAACCATCCGCCCTTCCCCTTTTATTCTTCTTCCCGCCGTTTCCCTGCAAACTGTGATGCTAGCATTACCACTTTGTTCTTAAAATGATTCAGTATGACTTCTCTTTTCTCCTTTTTTGTCAGGTATGATTGTTGTGGTACAATACCGCATTATCTGGTGAAGGTCGTTTTCACGCCAAGAGGTTAGCGGTAAGGATGGGCACCATATATAAAGGAAGTGGTGGTAACGTCGAATCCATGATATGAACCGTGTGGAATTAGTAACTTTATTAATTTATTCGGCTCCACGAAGCTCCCATCCAAAACCAATATCGGCGCTCTACTGTGGTGTTACAAGCCCCTTCCCTTTGGGGATTCTGTCTATTTTTTTTACAGATTGAATTGTTGGAAACCCGCGATCCCGCTGACTTCCTGGCCTAAATGTAAAGATAAAATGATAAACGAAAAAAGAAAAGAGAAAAAAAAAGGAAAAGAAAAAGTGTGATGTCCAAACAGTAATATCTTTTTGAGAGAACCAAAGTATCACAATGGAAATAGGAAATTAGGAACCAGGAACAAAAGTGATCAAGGAAAAGACAAGAAGACAAGAAAGTTACTCTCTATGGGGGCTTTTTTAAACGAATAAACATTAACTATGTCAACTTCCTTCCACTAACCTCACTGGTCCTTCTATCCCTAACTCTCACCCTCCCCATAACACCCATCTTTCGGACCTCCCCTACCCTCCTGAGGATGTTCTGAAGCGCTATTCGCACTTCGGGACCTGGCTCTCTACCCAGGAGTTCAACAGCTAGCGGGAAGAACGTATCAACATGGCGGTCAAAGTCCTTTTCGGGGAAATTGGTGTACCCGTCCATAACGTCTACAACGACCGGTCTCCAGGCATCAATGTTACGCTGTTGGGTTTCTTCATCGAGAATGATGTAGCCGCGAATGATATCCACGCACAGTCTGTAGCAAATATTAACATCAGGTATGAAAAGGAAAATAAACAATAGAAAAAGGGGGTGCATACGGGATCAGGGCAGCCTCAATGGCACCTCTGCTCTCTCTCCTCTCGATTTGGTCATCCTGGTACATCCTCAATAGGATACTAACGTAGGTTGCGGCACTACCGCTCTCCTGCTTTAGCAAATTTGGTGGCTGTTTCATAAAGCCTTCGCGCCATAGCCTCATTCGAAGCTCTTTATCGCCGTTGAACCTTCTTGCAAAAGTGAAGCTCTTTTTCAAAAGACCCATCAGTCTTAGTAGCTCGGTTGACGGGATTTCTGAGTATACTGCATCATTGGAGAAAAGCTCTGACACAGTCTCGATCATAAGAAGCTGAAGGACACATTTGGTGATGATCTTGTTGAAGAAACGCCTCCTGGCGGCGGTTACAACCGGTTGTTGGGTGTGCTGTTGTGGCCGGTAGTCCTCCAGATCGACATTAGGGGTAGAGCCTTGTGGTCCGGTTGCGGCTCTTGCATTTTCCGGGGAGATGGTTCTGTCCCCGGATTCTTCATCCCCCTCACCCGGGGCAGGCTCTGAAAGGTCATTGATCTTTAAGGAATTCTCTCCATCAGTCTCCTCGTCGCTTACAACCTCGCTGATAGGTCCCTTGATATCGTTAACCGGAATAGTTGTCATTGTTTGTATGCTTGACCCGCTAGCTGTTCTTCCAGAAGGTTGACTGACTGTGGAGAATAATTGATCCGCCGTTGTAGTCTCGAATAGCTGGACAAAGGAATTGACTATCTTCGTCCAATGCTCTGGCCTGAGTTTCTTGACGCTCTGCAAAATGAGCTGTTGTAGGCAAGATGACCCAATTCGGGCAATTGTGTCATTCTCCTGGCAGATGCATGTAACCAGTAAATCAAGGAAGCCATCAAGCATCCGCTCAAGTTTCTCAAAGTAGTGTGTAAACAAAGCAATCAGATTTCTAAGGGCCTGGATCATGGTTGTTGAGAGCCACATGCCAACAGATTCCTGGTTGCCCATCTGTATCATCTCAGACCGGGACTTGAGCACCATAAATATGGGGAAGAGCAATTCGTGGCAAATAGTATCCCAGAAGTCTGATGGGAAATCGCCGCCATATTTGACCAGCGTATCAAAGAGGTAACTAAGCGCCCTTGTTCGAGCCTCAAGATCTTCTCCAGTCATCAAGATGTCATGGAAGGCAAAGAGCACTGGAAACCAAAACTTAACCATCGGGTCATCTTTGACGTTCCGGACATCCCTCTTTGGCTGCCTATTGGTGGTCTCCGTCTCGCCACTCCCATCGACCTTCTCCGAGAGCGGGCATTCCGGGCAAGAGAGCATGCGTGGCACCGTCCCCTTCAGAGTCTCGATGGCTTGCAGGGACACCTTTTGGAATCGGGTGTTCTTAGCAAACTCGGTTAGACAAATGATCATGTCCGCAAAGGCCCCCTGCGCAACGATAACTCCGAAACGGCTGCTGTAGATTTTACGGACATTTTCGAAAGCCAGGTTAACAATTTGGTCTGCAGAACATTAGCATATTTCAATTTCAATATGGCAGGTTACCATTGGACCTACCGTAATTCTCTTTCGCTGCAAAGGTAAATGTGCCGAACATTGTTCGCCAGCCGGATCTGATATTGTTGCCCCTGGCTTGTAACATTTGATTCAAGCATCTCAGGACCTACATAACCGCCCGTAATTAGCGGAAGGTGGTAGTACATATACTTTGGCAAGACCCACCATATCTTTAACAGGCACCACTTGGTTATTCGCCATGACATGCTCAAAGGGCTTCAGGAAATCCTTTTGGAATTTGAAATGGGGGAGTTCCTCAATCTCCAGAAATCGCATTGACAGTTGTCTCAACGAGTCCAAGGCAAAGAATACTACGCTTGTGTTCGAGTGGCAACCAACCTATTTAACAGCAATTAGCACAGCCCAAGTATCCGACCACAAGAGGCAACCAACCTGATTGAAGTGCTCCCCGAGGATATTCCAAAGATTACTCCACTCCACCCTGATTCTTCCCATGTTGTAGTAACTTATCTCGACGAGCTTTTGCAGGCTGAACATTCGGGGGTGCTCGCTCTGTCCTGATGATTGTATCTCCTGCCACGAAACCTCACTCAGGGCCCGCACAAAATGTACAATCCCTTCTCCGCCAAGCTTGCTTGTGTTGGCAAAGATCTTGTCCACGGCAACGACGACCTCTCTCGACCGACTCTCCTCCGCAACCTCAGCCTGGTAAGGGGTGCCGATAGTCGCCCGTTGTCGGGGACGCGGCCTCGCGGTTTGCATTGAAGCTCGTGATGACTTTAAAGATTCATTGCCATCGGGACGAACAATCCCTCCCTTTGTAACATCAGGTACGGACCCCTCGTCCACTCCAGAGCTGATAAGCTGGAAACGCTCAAGCTGACTGATACAAGTTAGGACGTCCCTCCATGAGCTCTTGAGAAGATTTCCTTCACTCTGGGCAACTTCCAATAGAACCTTGAGGGCTTCCACATTCTTCGGCTTCATCTCTCCTAAGTTGCTAAGGTGAGTGAATTTGGCGAGCGCAGAAACGAAGGCGATTCTCGCAGTTTCAAGGTCGAAGAAACATGCCACTCGGATGGCAAGCTTGAACCCCTCCATACATAGCCGGATCGTCTCGGTTTCGTTTGAATCTTGAGCAGCTCCAGAAAGCCCGGAGAGTACTGACATCCAGGTGACTTCAAACATAGGTCCTACGTGCTTTGACGATGAAGCGGCGATAAATCTCGACAATCCCGGCCTTGCACCTCCTCGTCGCTGAGCGCGGAGTAATGTTTTGAATAATTGCTACGAATGCCACGAGTTATGTTATTTTAGCCGTTAAAAATTTCGGAAGGTTACCTACTTCGGTCTTATTTGCCATCTCCTGACTTGCCTGTACATATGCCTCTCTCTCGAGATCCCTTCCAGCATTTGCGAGCACTCTTCCAATTCCTTCAACAATTCCGCCCGCCGATTGTACCGTTGGATCTATCTTTGATGGATCCCTTTCCCCCTCAAGAACAATTTCATTGGTTCGGATTTCCTCGTAGATAGCAAGTAGGTATTCTTCAGGCAAATCTGCGTTATCGTTGATACCGCGATTGTTCTTGACAAAATCGTCGGGGGTCATCCGTGTTTTTCCCTTCAGCTTTGAGCTGTGTTGGTCGGTGTTCAACATAATGACGGAATACGCTAAGACATATGCCGTGTCAGCGTTCGCAAAGGCATTTGGATTCCCGGATATGTATCGTTCCGCGAATTTCAACATGAAGCGATCGATCTTCTGGGCCTCTCCTGGTAATCTGAAAGCTTGTAGATATTTCCGTAACGCATCTACGAATCGCATCCTCGAGAAGTCCATTGCATCCACAAATGCGTGCATAGTAGCGATATTCTCCGCATCACCCTCGCCGAGATATTCTCCAACAGTCCTCTTGTCAAGCGAGTTAGTATTGACGAGAATGAACTCCGCTATATGTTGAGGCAAAGAACTCTTGATGAAACCCTTCTCTATCAACTCCTTGATTCCTCGTTTTGGCTTAAAGTTGAATTTTCTAATGGCCTCTACTAACGCTGTTTTTCTTTGCTTCGCTTTTTCTATCTGGCTAGGGTCGTCCACCATCCCATCTATATCAGTCGAAGATGTTCTTCTCTCCAGCTCTGGCTGGGGGGTTGCTAGAACTGGCGTTGTGACGGCAGACAGCCGCGGTGACGAATGGGGATTGTCTATTGAATCCCTTCCTTCGTCGAGTTCCCTATTAGCCGACTCCCGGAGCGCACCGACAAGCCCCTCTCGGGACCAGGAGACAAGCGACTGTAGGACCTCGATGAGGCATTCCAATGATTGCCGCTTGAGGGCATACTCTAGTGGAAATGGTGGGTCTCCTGCGGAAGTGGGTGCCGTAGCTATGCTCGCGGTGGAAAGCGAAGGTGGTAGAGAAAACCCGTGGGTAGAGGCTGCTGCGGCGCTCTTATACTGCTCTCTAAAGTTTTGCTGCTGCTGTTCATTTATGGTAACTTGGGTTGCCGATATCCGCGAAAGATGCTCGATGATTCTAAAATTGTTACCACTTCACAAGATCCTCTTTGGTGATCGTAGGTGAAACTTACCTCTGAAACATGTTGTCCAAGGCAGATCTGTCACAATCGTAGTTCAGGTAAATCTCAACGAGAGCTCTAGGGTCTGCACAAATACGATGCAAGATACCAAGGAGATATTGCTTTTGCTGCCCACTCGAGTGTCTGTTATCCAAGATATTAAGGTAAATCTCTTTCAAGAAAACCTCAATCTCTTTCTATATTCCCGCTAGGTGTCAGAGTTTTATAAATCAGGTGGTGGTGGTGTGTGTGTGTGGAGATATTGACCTTGAGCATGACTCTCATATGGCATATCATTAACCAGAATATTTCACAACAAACTTCGAACACCAGTCCTACAGCGCTGGCTGCATTACGGCTAAGACTCAAGCAGAGATACTGTTTCATAGCATGCATAAAGCTAGTAGCCTCTGCACTACTTGAGCTCCGGATGGTGCTCAGGGGAGAAACAAAAACTACCATGTGACTCTTCAAGATTGTGTGGATTAGATGTAAACTCAGCAGTTTACTTCTCATTGGTTGTGACCTGAGATCCGCAATTTGCTCCGCGGGTAATGTTTTGATAGACAATTTGCACATCGCCCTAAATACCAGGAAAGCATCTTTGACGAAGATTTCATCCTCCTCATCATGGCCTTCTGAAGATGCTACGGAACCGTCTGGCACGGGCCCACTTTCGCTAGGGTGCCCTTTTCTCGGGGTATGAGTTACCGTCGTAGGCGCATTATCAACAATTCTCTCATCGTCAAAACTCTTCCTGTTTTCAAAACTCTGCAATGTTATCTTCTCCTGAGGCGCCCTATTCGCGATAAGGCCCGGGCTTTCTGGAACGGCATCTCCATCACCCGTATGTGAGCTCCCATCATCTGCGTGGAGAATCGGAATGGCTAGGTTTGTCGAGCTATCGTTCTCCCCATTTGCATGAGCTAGATTTGCCTCCTTCATAGAAATCCGAATCTTGACCCTCTCAAAAACGGTATGTACCATTTGTGTTAATGTGCCCTGCGCAGTCATTTGATTGGGACTGCTCCGGGAGAGCAGAAATATATTGTAGGTTTGTCTGATAGCTTTCAAGAGCCCTGCGCCATGTACGACAGCCTTATCATTTAGGACAGCTGCCAACAAGGCCTTAATGATCTGAAGCTGGACTTGGTCTGGTGTCATATCTCCCTGGAAGCAATCGCAAATAGTTTCAATTGCTCTTTCAATCAGAGGTGTTGGTGCCGTAGGTGGCGGGGGCTCCACCCGCCTGCTTGTTGGTGCATCATCTACAGATGCTGCGGTGCTAGGCGTTGGGGGTATTTGAGGCGGTGCCGTAGAAACAGAGAAATATGAGTAGCTTATTAACTTCCCAATGCAATCAAGAGCAGTAATCATAATTTGCGTGTTCTGGATGGAGCATGCAACTTGCAAGGGTTCAAATACTACAGCAGGGTCCGGTGGTAACTCCGGGGCTGCCGACTTTATAGCATCCAAGGCCCTTTGAATCGAGTCCGCAAGCGGTTTCCGTCGCTTCGTTTCTTTTGCGGCAAGAATTGATTCTAAAGCTTGTACCACAAAAACCATCGACGATAAGGTCGGCTGTGCACCGTTGTTGTTTGACACAGATGAGTTTTTAAACCGCTTTCCCGTGCTGGTCGTTGCAGGGGCGTTCCGGGAAGATGTACGCGCCATGGCAGTAGGGGTTTGCGGCCGATCAACTGGCTCCTGATGATGGGAGAAAGGCGGGCGATCTGTCGATATAGGTATGGGAATTCCTGCTTTGGGGGTCACGGGAGTCGGGTCTGGGAGGGGATCCGGTAAAGGCGGGAGCTCCCTATCCAGTAGCTCGGCAGTGGTCAGAGAGATCTGAGAAGGCCGTCTGGCAGGTTCGCCCTGGAGCTCCGAAGCCCTGTCTTCCGAAATCTCCAATCCTGTTGAAGGGGTAGGCACAAGCGCGGATTCTGCAGAGCCCGTCTCGTCGCGTAGCTCAGGCTCGTCGGCATCGGATAGCCTAAATGCTACGGTCCCTTCCCCACCTAGCGTGTTCCCGTTCACTGCCATACTTATGGCTGCTTTGGTGGCCCCCATTTTTCCTGGTTCGCTGGGAGGGGATTGGGAAGACTCGGACTGGATGGCCGGTGTTCCGGTATCGGTTTCGTCAGCCATGTGTTCGGTCGATAGGACCGGTTTGCTTTGAAAGGGTCCAATCCTCCAGCGCTTGATTGGTATTTCGACGGTTTCGCGGGTCGGTGTCAGGTGTTTTGGGGACAGGAACGGGAGAGCTGAGTTGACAGGGTGTTTGTGAATGTTTTGTTGCTGGGCGAGTTCTTTATGGCAGCGGTAATCTTTAAAATTTTGGAAAAGTGTTAATTTAGTCAGACCAAGTCCACTCGTAACGACCGGGAAGCCACATTTCAGCCGTCCCTCTCGGAAAGTCCCTGTACTCGTACTCGTACGAGTAAGCTGACCCAAATTTACAGTAAAAGCTGTTCCCACCCTTCCCCCTGGAGAACAGTGGGCCCCAAGCACAGTACTGTAGCGATGCTGTACTGTGCCCTGTTATTCGTTGGCCGTGGAGAGGAGTTTGGAGCTCGGTCGCAGGATGGATAGGGGAGAAGGTCAAAGATTCCATTTCCCTTCACCCTCACTGTGCCCGTACCGGTAGTCTATGATATGATGCGCTCTTTCATGTTTGTCCCTCCCACTCGCATTACTTTGGGTGACGCGTAACACCTTTTTTTAATTATTCGAACATGATAATTATTTTTTTAATGAGGTTCATGCGGAAATACTCGAGTGCGGTAAGTTACGGCCATTTGAGGGAAGAGCCCTCTCAATTTTCTCCAACGCCGACCGCAGAGGTGTGATGGGTGATACAATTACAGCTGACACCCCTCCGCCGACTGTCGCAACGCCACAGATCACTGAGCTGCAGTGTAGCTATGCTTATCACCTTTTGATTGGCGGATATGATATATGTACTGTACAGTACGGTACCGGTACCTGTTGAATAATGCAGCTACAAGGCATGGAACTCTTGGAATGTTCTTCAGGAAGAATCGGATGTACCATATCGATAAAGTGAGCTCTTATCTAATCAAACCAGCGCCTATTGATCTCACTCAATCCCGTACGGGGCTCTGGGCTGTACGCAGGGAGAGGGCAAACTATCATATTACCGGTAGGTATTCATAGGACTCCGAGCTTGAGACGCGTTACCACCCACCTTATGTTTTGGGCCTCCCTGGTCGAGGCCCTGACCCGTCCCACGGAAAGGAGGAGCCCCAAAGCTATCCACAGATTGTCAGCCGGAGATTCTTAAACATCACAGTGCTTTGCAAACTACCAGTACGAGTACCGTAGACTATCAAGCCTCTGCGAGTGGTCGCCCCGGCATTGACTAGCGCCTGCTCCAGCGCCAAAGCGTTTGACGACTTTAGAGGTATCATACGGTATTCGAGTGCAAGTACGGTAGCTGAGTAGATGCGATGGATGAGATAAGATAAGGTAAGGTTGTTGTCACCCAGGACTGGTAGGGAGGTTGAGCCCCACCACAGGAAAAGAGATTTCCCGCTTCCCGCGAACGTCTCGTGCTGTCGCCACCTACCGGTATGACTCTATAATGTAATGCGCCTCCTGAACCTTTACTCAAAAACCTTCTCCCAACCTTTCGCGACGTTTCCTAGCTCTCCTCTCAATCTGAAAACCATGGCTGGGAAATGTGTTCTGGCCCCGATGGTGCGTACCGGGGAGCTTCCAACTCGTCTCTTAGCCCTTAGGTACGGCGCAGATTTAGTATGGGGTACTGCTTCCCTGGATCTCCCTTAAATTCAGGATGAGGGTTCTAACTCCTATAGGCCCTGAGACGGTGGATAAGGGAATTATTGGAACACAACGAGTCGTAAACTCAAAAATCAACTGTATCGATTTCGTTAAACCGCAGAACGGAGGACAATATGACGAGAAAGTCATTTTCAGAACTTACCCTACGATGGAAGCCGGTAAATTGATATTTCAGCTTGGTACTGCATCGCCGGAGTTGGCAGTGGAGGCTGCGAAGATCGTTGTGAGCGATGTGGCGGGAATTGACGTTAACTCTGGGTGTCCGAAGGTATGCCTCCTTAAGTTGTGAGCCGGAGCTGTACTCATTTGCTATAGCATTTTAGTATTCACTCCGGAATGGGCGCTGCTTTACTCAAGAACCCGGATAGGCTTGTTGATATCCTCACTTCGCTCGTCACAGAAGTAGGGGTGCCTAATTCCGTCCCTATTTCGGTCAAGATTCGCCTCCTGGAGCCGCACTCGGACACCATTGGTCTGGTGCAACGGCTTTGCACGACCGGCATATCCCGAGTAACTGTCCACTGCCGGACAATTCCTATGCGCCCTCGCGAGCCGGCTGTCCGAGACGTCCTCTCCGATATTGCTAATGTTTGTCGCGAAGCTGGGATTGAATGTTTTGCGAACGGGGATGTTGACTCTCGAGCGCATGCTGAGGAGCTTATCGGAAAACACGGTGTGGATGGATGCATGATTGCCCGCGCAGCGGAAACAAATCCGTCTGTTTTTCTTCCGGGCGAGAAACTCCCGTGGTTAGATGTTGCCAAGGAGTATACGAGGATAGCCGTAGAAGTGGACAATCACTTCCCGAATATCAAGTTCTGCCTTTCGCACATCATACCCGGGAAGACAGATCTATACCCTCTGATATCGAGGTCTAAGACCGCCCGGCAAATATGCGAAATCTTGGAGATCCCTTACGAACCACCAGCGCCAAGGCTGGAGGAGAACCTGGATAAGGCTTTTGGAAAGGCGGCGAGGGCCGAAATGGTGGGCTCCAAGGCCGTACAGAAGGCCAAGTCTTCATCAACGGTTAAGGCTGCCGGAGGCGGAGACTCCGTCAAGCATAGGGAAAAGAAACGGAAGGAAAGAGGGGTTGGGCTCCACTCGGAAATTACCGGTATTCTAGAACAGGAACCTCATCAAGCAGCGATAATATTATAACCTAGATGCGTGGCATTTGACTTGTTCCGTGCACTCTATTGGATACGTCATAGGGGCATATATACCGGCGTTTGTGGTTTTGTTGTTTTACCTTTTGCATGAATAAAAAAAAACCAGCTATTTCTCCTTGTCCCTCTTTCGCGCTTTATGTAACTGAGAGGGCCTATAGTCTACTCGTAGAGAGTAGGTCGTGTGTTCACGATCGACAGCATAAATCGTGGGCGGAGAGTAGTCAGAGAATCCGCTCGAGTACGAGTTCTCTTTGCCTCGTGGCCAGCTCTCCTTATTGTTCCAATGCTATTAGCAAGATACGGTACATGAGAAAATCAAGGTTCTATATAACCAAAGCTCCTACAGCAGAGATAGCAGCACTATCTTCAGGCAGCACTTTCAGGAGCTCTACATTCCACTCCCGCATAACGCTCCCGGTGAAACATTATAAGGGGGAAGCATAAGGTGCCCACCAGAGCCTACCGTAGAATCATCTCCCGTGATGTACGAGTAGCGGTATATACAGCAGAGAGAAGTGGGCCGCCCCTGAATCCTAATGCTCCCACTCCACGGTACCGGCAGAATGTGATAGACATGTCAGATCTGAGTTACAAACCCCGGTATCGGACACACCATCCTCAAGCATACCGCCACCGCAACACACTTCATCTCTTTTCGCGCTGTTCCAGCCGGATACCCGGACAGCACCCCGAAAGCTCCAAGCCGAGTATCATGCAAGTGCGGGTAGCGGTACCGCGGGATCGGGTCAGGTACGGGAGAAGCCCTCCGCATTCGAATGCGGTCCTGACCACTTTATCGGCGTTCAGTATGCGAGCGATTGATGGTTTTTCATACAAATGAGTAGCATATCGGGTGAGTGCCCGACTATATGACGGGGTGCAGTACCCGAAGCCCATCGTGGGCAGAGTAGCCTTCCGTAGTTACCGTATCCAGCCGAAGTTGTTATGTAGGGCATTTTACTAGGGGAGCAAGTGCAGGATTGTTATCGTTTGAAAGGGCGTTTGAGGGGGATATTCCGATTGGTGGGGCATGATAGCTGTTGTTTGGATTGAAGCTTATGGGCGTAAATTTACTTCGTTCGTTTGAGGATTAAGGTTGAGGTGCGTTTGGTAAGAGCCTCCTCATCGATCCGGGGGGTTACTCTGAGAATACTTGTACCGGTAGTAGTGGTTTATTCCTTTCGTCTGCGAGTACTCGTAATTGTAGCCTGGAGATTGGGCGGCGAATCGATTGAACTTAATTTATTCGATATGATAGCCCACCATCTCTCGATAACCCGCATCCCATTTCCAGGGGACCCCGCTGTCTAAGCGAATATTTTAGCACCGAGTGAGCGCGGATGAAGCAGTTGACGCCTACATCTACGTCATAAATCTGCTACCGGTACAAGTACCGTACTGTACCTACAATCCGAACTTTCGGACTCCTAAAGACGAGAATGATAAGAGATGGTGATATCAGAGACCCTCGAACAGTGTTCCCCACAATTGAAAGCTCCCGTGTTCAGGGCGGGTTTGTCGGTGGACCGGATCAAACGGTTGAGCAGACTGGGGGAGGGTTGCTTGATGAGTCACGCGGTGTCCACAATCATGGTGGGAGGGGGGGGAGGTAGAAAAAAAAGGGAAAAAAAAAGTATTTAAATTACCTGAGGCAACAGCCCACCGAACTACAAAGGGCGGCAAACATTTGTTCACCTCCCCAAAACCATCAATTCTGTTCTAGAAATTCTACCATTTCAAAACTTCCACCGGACACGGACAGGACAAAAAGTTCTCGGGATTGGTTCAAAGATGCCTATGTGAGTAAACTTTCTTTCATGCATTCGGAGGTGCCCCTTTCTCTCTTACTTCGGACTGACCAACATGTTTACAGGCTTAAGGATCCCTCCAAGAAATATCAGGCTTTCAAGCCCGTGCACTTGCCGGACCGGCAATGGCCTTCAAAAACCCTCAACAAAGCTCCACGATGGCTGTCAACCGATTTGCGAGACGGAAACCAGAGCTTGATCGATCCTATGGTGGGGTCCCCTCTCCCTCCTCCTCTCTGCTGCAGTGGCAGGAACCAATGTTAACAAGCTTTTTCTTCAATAGGACGGAGACCAAAAATGGCGGTATTTTAAGCTGCTGACTGACATTGGCTACAAAGAAATCGAGGTCTCCTTCCCCTCGGCGTCACAACCCGACTTTGACTTTACTCGTCGCTTGATCGAAACCCCTGCAGCAGTACCAGGGGATGTTTGGCTCCAAGTTCTCTCGCCGTGCCGTGAGGACTTTATCCGTCGAACGATCGAGTCCGTGAAAGGAGCTAATAAGGCTATTGTACATCTTTACCTAGCTACATCCTCGTGCTTCCAGAGAATTGTTTTCGGAATGACGGAGGAGCAGTCGGTAGAGTTGGCGGTAAAGTCAACGAAGTTGGTCAGAAGATTAACGAAAGATGACCCAGATGCTCGGGGAACAGAGTGGGCGTATGAGTTCTCCCCCGAGACATTCTCGGATACCAGCTTGGAGTTTGCTGTTAGGATTTGTGAAGCTGTTAAGGCAGCATGGGAGCCGACGAAGGAAAACCCGATTATCTTTAACCTTCCTGCTACGGTAGAGATGTCTACCCCAAATGTTTATGCTGATCAGATCGAATACTTCTGCCGTAACATTAGCGAGCGGGAGAAGGTTTGTATTTCCCTGCATCCTCATAACGATCGCGGCTGCGCTACCGCTGCCTCAGAGCTCGCACAAATGGCTGGCGCAGACCGAGTAGAGGGATGCCTGTTTGGAAACGGGGAGCGCACCGGAAATGTCGACCTAGTCACACTCGCGCTGAATCTGTATACCCAGGGAATCAACCCCAATGTTGATTTCTCAGACATCACCAGAGTTATTGACGTTGTCGAGGACTGCAATAAGATTCCTGTACATCCAAGGGCACCATACGGTGGGCAGTTGGTCGTCTGTGCATTCTCTGGATCTCATCAGGATGCAATCCGCAAGGGCTTCAAGCTCCGCGAAAAGGCTCACACAACTGATGACGACAAGTGGCAAATCCCCTATCTTCCCCTGGACCCAGCAGATATAGGTAGGACTTACGAAGCTGTTATCCGAGTCAATTCACAATCTGGAAAGGGAGGTGTTGCCTGGGTCATTCAGCGTGCTTTGGATTTAGATCTTCCCCGTGGCCTCCAAATCGCCTTCTCGAGGATTGTTCAGAAAGAAACAGAGGACCTTGGTCGAGAGCTAAAACCTAGTGAAATTCAAACCCTTTTTGAAGTAGAATATCACCTCAAGTCGATTCCCCGAATCTCTTTAATCGACTACGAGTTCGGTACCGACCGCTCTGCTTCTCCAAACCAAGGCATGGGCAAGCAATCCGCAAATGCTAAGAGGACATTCCATGGCATCATTTCCGTGGACGGTAGGGAGCAGTCTATCAGGGGTGTTGGCAATGGGCCAATATCCAGTTTGGCCGATGCCCTCCGCACTGTTGGCATAGATCTTGACGTCTTGGACTACAAGGAGCACGCCATTGGCCGCGGAAAGAGTGTGAAGGCAGCAACATTCATTGAGTGCGACATCTCCGGTAGTCATGTGAATAAGGAGCGGACAGTCTGGGGCGTCGGTATCCATGAGGACACCGCACAGGCAAGTTTGATAGCCATGTTAAGTGCAGCGAGCAAAGTGAGTTTAATGCATGGTGAAATACCTGTGTCGTGGTTTTGTTAACATAGTTTTGCCCAAGGCACTTTCGAGTCGGCCGGTTACGCCCATGCCTGCGGCGAGCTTGGCCGCCCCGTTGACGACCCTGAAACTGCCCGGTATTGTGGTGAATATTAATGGGCTGGAGTCGAAGGCTGAGGGGATGTAAAATGATTGGGATTGAGAGAAAAAGTTAAAAATTGGATACATAAAATTGTTTACATGACATGGGTGGGCCACGACGGGGGGGGGTTAGCGGAAGTCTCCTCCTTTCTCCCTTATTTACGCGGTTTGGGGGGGGGGCAGGTCTTGTATGTTACTGTGTTTAGGCTTGTGGAAAATTAAAAGTGATCCCCGCCCTCTTGCAAACATGATAGTTTATCGTAAGATGACGTCCAACGCCCCTGGCTGTTGCGACGGTCCATAACCTGCCGCTACGATCGAAATTAGTCGTGGCTGTGGATTATGAGCTACACCCCATACATGCGGCATGCTTATATCAACTTGTCAAATTATGAAGGAGTATAACAATGTTTTCCCCTTCTTTGGGGCACGGATTGGCGTGGGTGTCAAGCTTGCCACCATGTGAAGTAGAAAAGAGATTTTAGGTGGAGTAAAGAGGAGAATTCAATTGGGCACTTTTGTGGGGAAGGATATAATCGTTTGAGTGAGCAAGAATTGTGAAGTATTTTTTTAACTTAATTGATCCCCTTCCTATCGCTGAAGTAGATGACCACTATATATTATAGAGACTCCAACCGACCAGATCTCCGAGTCCACCTAGTGACCCCATTCCTTTCAATCCATACCATTCCTCGTCCTCATTCCAATCTAACCCACAACCAGATATCTATCTGGTGGCTACATTCCTTCCAATCTATACCATTCCTCGTATCTCCTCACATTCGTCTAGAATGCTTCTGGCATGTGGTTATCAGGAAGTTCCTAACAACCCCGGCGATATCACAACATCATGAAGTCGCACTCGCCCGAGTGATACCCTAAGATTAGGGCAAGCAAATAACTGGAACGCTGTTTTTGAATTGTTAACAAGGGTTGGAAGGATTAGGCTTTGACATAGTGTCCGTTGCCCGGGATTTCGGAGGAAGTCCGCAAAAGGTTCTGGAATATTGGATATTTTTGTTTCCGTCGTAGAGCTGATTATGGGGTATAAGGTCGAAACTGTTTGGTTGGGTTAATTTTGCTCCAAGGTCAAGGCTTAGTCTTGGTGAAAGTAGTCACCATGTCTACTCGTGCTGATAGGACTTGTGCTGTATGATAAATTATTGCTTTCTCTAGATTAACGGTTGGGGGGCTGGCTCTTGGGGGTGTCTTAAGGATAAGCTTTTAAGAAACACACGGTATCTTGGCATCTTAGGGTTTTAGCCCTTTCACTCCCCAAACTGTGACTTCCTCACCCCCACACATGCTGCGAGCCAACACCAAAAAGTTTCGTGCTGTGCCAAACCTGCAGTGACTTATCAAAACGGCGCTCAACGACCAACGGCCACAAATTCTTCACGAAAGACTAACCAGATACCCAACATCACCACCAAAAATCCATCGTCATGCGTATGTCTTAATCTCCTCCCGGTGGAAGATAAATCGGCTAATAAAAGCAGCCCCAAAGTTTGATCCCAACGAAGTTAAGATTATGTATGTGCAAAGCTCTTCGAAAACATGAAAGTGTTTATCCCATATTGTACCTTACCTGATGGTCTGGCTAACAATTGGGTTTCTTTCGATTCCCCTCGAAGTCACCTTCGTGCCACTGGTGGTGAGGTAGGCGCTTCGTCCGCATTGGCGCCGAAGATTGGTCCTCTTGGTCTCTCACCCAAGAAGGTTGGTGAGGATATCGCTAAGGCGACCGGTGACTGGGTATACTTCCTCTCCGCCTGCATGTGTTAGTCACGGGGTGGTGGAAAGTTAATGTGAACATTTTCTATGAAATACAGAAAGGTCTCCGTGTCACCGTCAAGCTCACCATTCAGAACCGTCAGGCTGCCGTCTCCGTCGTTCCTTCTGCATCTTCCCTCGTTATCAAAGCCCTCAAGGAGCCCCCGAGAGACCGCAAGAAGGAGAAAAACATCAAGCACACCAAGTCCATCCCTCTCGACGAGATAATTGAGATTGCCCGAATCATGAGATTCAAGTCGTTGGCTCGCGAGCTTAAAGGAACTGTCAAGGAGATTCTTGGAACTGCTTATTCTGTCGGATGTCAGGTTGATGGCCGCTCCCCTAAGGACATCTCCGACGATATCGCGTCTGGCGAGATTGATAGTACGTTCTGCGTTACATCCATAAGACATAAATTACTGACCGAGTACCCTCTAGTCCCCGACGAATGAATAACCCGTTAGGTTTTCTTTTTCTGCTTTCGGTTGGGCTACCTTCTTGTATCTATTCAAAAAAGCGGTAAAAGGATGAATTTCGGGCGTACCGGTTTTTTATGTCCCGGCTTCTGCGCACGTCCTGTGTTTGTGCGAGATTGTAAAGCTATTTGGATCGTCCTCTTATCTAGCCCCCTTGCCAACACTCTGGTGTCTACCTACTCTTCCGTGGTCTACTCCTATTTTAGTGCAAGGGAGATTGAGTCCTTGGGAGGGAGCTTACTACTCACCGCTACGTCCTGCAGGTGGGCGTAGAGGTCCATCATACTAAAAGCCCACATGTAAATATGGTGTCGGCACAAGCCTGGTAGTTATGGCGGGGGAATCCGGGGTTCCGGGGAGCATAGAGAACGAATACAGGATTAGCTATACGGGCCAATTCTTTTTGCATGCTGTGATATGATTTCTCCCGTTCCAATGTTCTGAGGATATCAGAAGGCCATTCTCGATCCGGTGATTGCTTTTGGGAGTATATATTGTAGGCGGATGCTGTAGGACTACTGGAGCCCCCCGGTGGGATCAAGCGGGAAATTTAAGTTAAGCCTTGAATAGTAGCATACCGGAATTCCGAAGCCGAAGAAGAGCATCGATCTACGATATCACTTAATGAATGCATCCCTGCCCTACTAATTCTGGGTGCTTCCCCCGTGACGACTCGGCATCCGACCTCAACGCCAAGCCTTGCAAGGATGGTGAAAGAGGCTCCAAATCATGTGTTGCCATCCAATGCTCCACCCAAGAAGAAGCATCTCGACAACCCATCCCGACTTACCCATCCGTCCACCCTCCTTATACAAACCATGGCTTCGCCGACAACAATCGCACCGCCGGGTACCACTCATATAATCAAACCTGCAGAGGTAGCTACTGGTTCCCCCCCGGTGCCTCCCGCGTTCTAGGGTATGGGAAAGAGCTAAATGGGATAATAGGAGTTCGTCCGCGAATCCGCAAAACGCACACGCGAAGTATTTGCCTCCGATTTTGGGAACCCGTTCTTGCTAGATGATGACACTGCGTACCTCTCCCCTATTTCCACGCTTCCTATCTACCCATATCGGCTTGCGCTAACGTCAGATAGCCGCAAACAATCTATAAGCTGCAAAATCCGCCTCGAATACGCAACAGTGCGTGAACTCCCGCCTGCGCTCGCTGCAAAGCAGGTCGCAGCGAAGAAGAAGAAGCGCATTGGTGGTGGTGCTGCCCCGGTAGTTTCGAAACCGCTGTTGACGGAGGCAGATGGTGTGGATGGGAGCACTATGAAGATGATCGAGGGGGTGACTGCTAAAGCTGGAAGCACGTCGATGTCGACGTCGTTAACGATACGGGGGCGTGCGCCACCGACCGGCAGTGGTGCGGGGGCTGGAGGTGGAGCGGGGGCAGGGACGGCGCAGAAGGAGTTACCGGGCAGTAGTCTGGCCCGTAAGAACGCCGCGGCCCAGCAGATCAAGCCGATGTGGCACCCACCTTGGAAGCTCATGCGTGTAATTTCTGGGCATCTAGGCTGGGTCCGGGCGCTCGCCGTGGAGCCGGGGAACCAATGGTTCTGCACGGGCGCTGGCGACCGCACCGTAAAAATCTGGGACCTGGCCTCCGGTAACCTCCGCCTGACGCTGACAGGGCACATCTCCACCGTGCGGGGACTAGCAGTGTCCCCGCGCCATCCATACCTCTTCTCCTGCGGCGAGGATAAAATGGTGAAATGCTGGGATCTCGAAAGCAACCGCGTGATCCGCCACTACCATGGCCACCTCTCTGGCGTCTACTCTCTCGCGCTCCACCCAACGCTCGACGTGCTCATCACGTCAGGTAGAGACGGCGTAGCTAGAGTCTGGGATATGCGCACGCGGACAAACGTCATGGTCCTGTCCGGCCACCAGGGCACTGTATCATCCGTCGTTGCGCAGGAGGCGGACCCTCAGGTCATTACCGGGTCTATGGACTCCACTGTGCGCCTTTGGGACTTGGCCGCGGGAAAGAGCATGGCTGTTCTTACCCACCACAAGAAGAGTGTCAGAGCTCTCGCTACGCATCCAAAGGAGTTCACATTCGTTAGTGGGTCCGCGGGAAGCATCAAGCAGTGGAAGTGTCCAGAAGGAGCGTTCATGCAGAATTTTGAGGGGTTCGGGGGGATCGTTAATACCCTTAGTGTTAATGAGGATGATGTTTTGTTTTCGGGAGGTTTGTGCTCTTTCTTCTGCGTTTTTTTCTGGGGGAGGGGGGAGTTGGAGGAGCTAATTTGGGATTCTCGCTAGCGGATAACGGAGAAATGTGCTTCTTCGATTGGAAGTCTGGGCATAGATTTCAGAAGATTGACACGATTGCTCAGCCCGGATCTCTGGATGCTGAGCAGGGTGTTTTCTGCAGCACTTTTGACAGGACCGGGCTAAGGCTGATCACTGGGGAGGCGGATAAAACTAGTATGTCACCCCTTCTTCTACTTCTTTCATCTTTTTTTGGGGGGGGGGTTATCGCAGAGCTGATGAGTGGGGTTTGGTGATTGTAGTCAAGGTCTGGAAACAAGACGAGGACGCTACGGAGGAAACACACCCTCTCGATTGGAAGCCGACTTTGCAAAGGATGAGATATTAAACTTGGGTTTCATGCTTTATGAAGTGTATAATTCACTTTATTTTTTTCTTTCCCACCATGTACAATAGCCATTTTCCTATCATTCGTCTGGGAAAAATTTCCTGGCCATACCTTGCATACTAATTCGAGATGTTGTGTGTGAGCATGGGAGTGTTTGCTTGCACGTTTAGACGTATTGTCACAGTTGCGGGATCATGCGTTTGTAATACTAGGTGATGGTTATGACCTCTCCAGAACAGGATAAGAAGGAAACCCCCATAGTCTGAGACTGATCCTCATCACAAAATTTTATTTCCTAAGCCTCCCATCCACCTATTTCAACGCAGTGGCCGCAAAAGTGGGCAGTACAAAGCTTGCCTCGTGGATCCTCTTGTTGTAGTATCTGTACATCTTCTGCTCCTCCTCATCGGATGCGGTCCTGAGGGGCTTGGAGACATCCCTGTTCGCATCCTTAGAGCAAACCATGAAGCCAATTTGGCCGGATGGGTAGGTTGGAATGGTCGTGTAGGCGTATTCCACAGTCGGGAAGACTTCGCGGCACGACTTTTTAAGGTCGGTAATGAGCTGCAGGTGAAGCCACTGGTTCTCGGCTGTCGCAACAAAAGGAAAAAAAAGTGAGGTCAGCTGTGTTACCATTGTAGGCCGAGGAAAGCAGAGGGGGGATATGAATGAGATGGAGAGGTGCGTGAAAAAAGGAAAAAAAAAAGAAGTCGAGATTTCGAGCGCAGGATGAGGTTGAGGAGAAGGTGTTCGACACTGTAGCGAAGGGTATCACATCACAGTAAGCCACAGAGAACGCTTTCCAGCAGAATAGGAAAGACTTCTGTTCTTCCAATCTCTCCCTCGCTCTTTCAAGTCATTTTCCATAGGGGGGAAATGCATTGCAATAAAAAAGGAGAACCGACAACCTTGCGTGGTGATCACACCACCCTCCTGTTAACGCGGTCATCTGTAGTTAGTAACCTACGATCAGTAATATACTGGTATGCCGATGTTATACCTTCAAAGCTCCGAACAGAAGCTCAAAGTAAGGCTTCTGGAAGAGAGACTCTGCTGGACCCTCTGGGTCCGATGAGTCAGTAATAATGACGTCGAATTCGTTCTTGTAGTCCTCGAGGAACTTGAATCCGTCTCCAACATGAACCCTAGACTTGGGATGATCAAGCCCCTTGGACATATGGGGGAGGTATTGCTTGGAGAGGCGGATAACAGCCTGTGATACAGGTGAGCATTGCCTGCTCCGAGTGACATTCCTGAAGAGATTTACCTCGTCGATATCGCAGAGAATGGCCTCCTCAACACAATCGTGTTTGACTACCTCACGGAGGACGCCACCATCACCACCGCCGATGACAAGAACCTTCTTGGGGTTGGGGTGGGAGTTCATTGCAAGATGAGTGATCATCTCCTGGTAGCTGGGCAGGCAAGATCATTAGCCCTGGCTATTATACAACGCGCAGACGGAGGGTGTATGCTCACGCAAACTCGTCACGCTCGGTGCATTGAATGACATTGTCCAAGACAAGAACGTTGCCGTAGTCGGTACTCTCGAATATCAGGACCTTTAGAATGGGTCAATTCATGCGATCCTAAATGGGGCCTTGGTTGTGCCAAAGGATCAAGCAAACATCTTGGTACTTGGACTTCTCGTGGTGCAAGATTTTCTTAACTCTGAGAGTCATGGCCTGGCCGGGCCACATCTCAGAGACCTCGCGGAACCAGCCATCTGCAACATGAGAGGAGCTTTTAGTAAATGACAACACTACACTAACCTCTGGAGAGCCATCGGAAGGAAGCACGAATTGTGGGTAGCAGGGCTAACCTTGGATAGTAGGATGAACGATTTCGCCCATTTTTGTATAATGTGCTCTGCAAGAACGGGTTCTGGAAAGGTTCTGTCCACGGGTATGTGTTAGTTAACTCCGATATGATACCGTATCACAGAGATTCCCAGGGGAATTGAGTGTCACAAACCCTGAAGAGGAGTCCTGTAGAAAATTTCCACAAAGACAAAGGGATTTTGGAGGGAGTGGTAACAGGAAAGAATGGAAGTGGGGATTGAGAGAAACCGGGTCGTCTAACGCCAGAGGGATGGAGGGGTAGCTTTAAAGGTTTAATGCCAAGGCTCATGGAGGGTCATCCCTGTCGATTTTTTTTTTTAAGACACTCTTTTACGAGTACCGGCAGCGTACAGCACGGTATCATACCGTGCCAGGTCCTCCCAGCCTCATCCATAACAAGTCGAGGGAAAAAGGGTAAGTTATCACATTGATGGAAGAAGGAAAGGGGTCCCTTGGTATTTTGTTTTTTTACGTGGGAGATGCAATTCAACTCGAGATATGAGTAAATCGCTCGATATTCTTTGCGTAAGAGTTACCAGTTGAGAAATAGTAAGGAGCACCCTGCAAGTAAGGGGGGTACTATACTTTACCGTACTGGTGCGGGATGTTTGCAATGTCGTTGGTTACAGCAACGCCTCGCCGCAGTCCCGAAGCCGCACCCGCATCACACACTTCTCTCTCGATCCCGATGTAATAACACTACGTTTTGTGCCTCTCCACTCTATAATAGTTCGTTATGAAACCTAAACCACCCCTTACGCTGTGAGCGGCCCAGAAAATTTCTGGATTAGCCCTCTCTTCATATCAGTTGACGCGATAGAATTCTCTGCGACATAGGGGATGACCGCGCCCTTTTTAAGCCTCAGATTCGGGTTAAAAGTTCGTCTTGCTGTACGATACGCCTACCAACGGGATATCGCTTTGACATGGTACGGCTATGCTTCTCAAGAGCAGCCCTGGAAGTATCTTGCTGCCGGCGAGAAGATGATCATAACTCGCGGACATCAGTGATACTGTGAGATCCCCCCCTCCAGACATGCGGGATTTGCTTGCCACTCCCTACAGGTAGGTTCCTGGCGGGTGATCGCATTGCGTGATCTCTTCCGGAATGTGTCGTCGCCTTAGAAGACTATCCCTCTAACCTACGGTACAGTTGGTTCTGGTATCATAGTAAGTTTTCTAGGAATCCAGAACCCCCCGATGTTCGTATCGAGTCTTCGAGTCTCAGGGCAATATAGGTGATGTTACCGTTGGATAGATAGGCTAACGAGTGCATATAGGAAGCAGGGGGGTAAGTGATAAAGGGGAGCTGCTTGCATGATTTACCAAACTTCCAAAAAACCGAGAAGGCCGTGCCGTATGGATATTCCGGCAATACTCGAGTGAATCACGCGGGCTGGTGGTTTTATATAGCAATATTATATTGTTTTGTCCCCCCCCCTTTTTTTAAGGTACCATATTTGTGGGTTGGTCAATGATTGAGACCAGATCTGTGTTACTTGAACACTGAATGCGTAATTAGTGGTGACTAAAGCACCACCCTGATTTGTAGGAGTTGTGTTGATGGGACCATTCATGATCTTAAATCACGAAATGTCACTCCAACCCCCTAATTGGCTATATCCATTCAGTATCCCTCAGAAGCCTACCACAACTTGGCAGCTCAATCAACAAATATCATGATGTTCTATATTCACTACACTCAGGGGAAAAAACCTAGGTTCCTCGGCAACTATCATTACAGCTTTTTTGGAGCCCGTGGGGAATGTAAATTGGGCAGGGGGGAGGGGTGCGGGGTGCGGGGTTCAGCTTTTGGTGCTCACCAAGGGGGATGGTACGCTAATCGGTGCACAAGCCCAGTAGTCAGTTGATGTGCCACTGGCACCTACCTGCTGGGCCGCTCCCGTTCGGTCTTATAAAAGAGCGCTAGATAGGAACGCTTCATGGATTAACCTTAACCAGGATCCATTGTAGAAGCGTCTGACTCTAAGTTGAGGCATCCACAAAGCCTCCCTATCTCGTGCGGGGGGTTGAAAAAGGCCGCCGCCGAAGGCCAGACACACCGCCGCAGATCCGGTTTAGTAGTCGAGGAGATTAGCTCCTCAATACAGAATAATTTAAATTGGGAATTGAGCAACACTCCGCTTGAATCAAGAGTCAGTCCCACCGTAGTAGTTCTTGCATTAGCACCCCCGATCACGGCTGTCATGAAAAGCTCCATGGCACACGAGGCATTTCATAAGATGGGCAACGTCCCCTGGGAAGATCAGGATATACACGCACAAAATGTCAAATACAATTTATACAAACTTGCCTCAATTTGTCGTTGACCATAATAAATGGCGTTTCTCACTCCTTTGTCAACTTATCCTGACTTTCTTTATGCTGGTATCTTGCTCACTACTGGTATTGCTTTTCTAGGACTACGCCAGACGGACTTTGCAACGTTTATCATACCGAAACAATTAAATGGACTGGGACCTGGCTTCCCTGAAATTCAGTCTATGAACATGGAGATTTCTATTTGGGCGCACTTTGACAAGCCGTGGTGCTGGTCATTCTATACAGGTGCTTCCCGTGTTTCATTACGGATATTGCGCCCTGCTTGCTCTTCACCTCAAAAGAGCGAGGCGACTGTTTTGGAGATCTAACGCCGACAGCCAGTTCACCTGGGCCTAGAAAATATCAGTAGCCTATGGGGCCATTGGAGGCGAAGGTTTATTATAAATCCCCCAAGGTGTTCACTAGAGGTAAGAGACAAAGCACCGGAGGATAAGCCGATTGTACGGGCTGAAAGCGCCCCCGGTTCAGAGGCCTATTGAGTACCGACCGATGATCCTATTTGCTATCCGAAAGATCTATCCGCCACGGTTGGCCCCGAGTAGGAAGTGCGGAACAAAGCTAGAGTTCTGCTGCTCTCACTCATTGAAGTTCTCAGGAACAAGGTTCAGTGGACCATCCTCAAGCTTTGATCGTATGAGACCGAGTAAAGCAGCGGTTTGTTCTAGCAATTGAGCGACGTTGGAGGCGAAACAGAGGTGGATACAATACAATTGTGGAGACCCCACGAGGTCGCAGGGGTGTCAATTCGATGGTGCAATCCCAACAAGACGTCGTGTAACAGGGGGCCCCTGTGGTAGAGCAGTCCAAAGCTAAAAGGAGCGGGACCCTCGACCAAAAGTTTTTTTTTTCTTTCACTCCTCACCTTCAACCTCACTCCGTCCACCACTCTTACTAGCACACAAACTGCTCGGGCACTTCAATAACAATCTCTCAAGCCACCTTTTTACTTGAATTTAGCGACCCTTTCAACCCATCCTATATTCAGAATGCCTTCCACATTCTTGTTCACTTCGGAGTCCGTCGGTGAGGGACATCCCGACAAAATTGCGTGAGTGGTCACCTATCATGCTCCTGTCGTTGCGGGTGGCCGTTTGCTATTTCTGTGGAATCTAACAGCGAGACAGTGACCAGGTCTCCGACGCCGTCCTCGATGCTTGTCTTGCGGAGGATCCCTTGTCGAAGGTTGGTTACCGCATAATTTTCTCGCCGTGACTCGAGTGCTGACGGTAATTTTCAGGTTGCTTGTGAGACCGCCACCAAGACTGGTATGGTTATGGTCTTCGGTGAAATCACCACCAGTGCGAGGCTTGACTACCAAAAGATCATCCGTGGCGCCATCAAGGATATTGGATACGATGATTCCAGCAAGGGCTTTGATTACAAGACCTGCAACGTTCTTGTTGCCATCGAAGAGCAGTCTAAGGATATCGCTACCGGTGTTCACATCGACAAGGCTCTTGAAGATCTAGGTGCTGGCGATCAGGGCATCATGTTCGGCTATGCCACCGATGAGACCCCCGAGCTTTTGCCGTTGACTGTTGTGCTTGCACACAGACTCAATGCCGACATGTCTGCGGCTCGCCGTGACGGAAGCCTCCCTTGGCTTAGACCTGACACTAAGACCCAGGTCACTGTTGAGTACGAGCATGATGGTGGTGCTGTTATCCCCAAGCGTGTTGACACTGTCGTTGTTTCTGCCCAGCATTCTGAGGATATCACCACCGAGGAACTGAGAAAGGAGATTTTGGAGAAGATTGTCAAGAAGAGCATCCCGGCCAAGTACCTGGATGAGAAGACTATCTACCATGTTTGTCCCTCGTTCTTGAAGCTTATTTGCTTGATCGCTCACCCTCTATATAGATTCAACCCTCTGGCCAATTCATCATCGGCGGTCCCCAGGGTGATGCCGGCCTCACCGGTAGAAAGATCATTGTTGACACGTACGGAGGATGGGGTGCTCACGGAGGTGGCGCTTTCTCCGGGAAGGATTTCTCCAAAGTCGATCGCTCTGCCGCCTATGTTGGCCGCTGGATTGCTAAGTCCTTGGTTGCTGCTGGCCTTGCCAGACGTGCCCTTGTCCAGCTTTCCTACGCCATCGGCGTCGCTCGCCCGCTTTCCATCTTTGTACGTCAGCTATCCTACCACTTCCCCTGAACAATTTTTGACTGACAATCCAATAGGTTGATACGTATGGCACCTCCAACAAGACCAGCGAAGAATTGGTGGAGATTATCAACAAGAACTTCGACTTGAGGCCCGGTGTGATTGTCAAAGAGCTTGATTTGGCCAAGCCAATCTACTTCCAAACCGCAAAGAATGGTGAGCTGCCCTCTGCTCTCGGCTTGTTTGATAACTTTCTAACATTCCCTCTCCAAGGTCACTTCACCAACCAGAACTTCTCCTGGGAGAAGCCCAAGAAGCTTGTGATTTAAATGAGCAACTTCCTGTTCGTCTTGTTACATGTTTTTTTTTTTTACTTTTTTTCAATTTTTTTTTTCAAATGGGGGTTTCTTTCATATTTCTTTTGCGATATCTCTTCAGTAGACGACTTCAACTTCGACTACCCGTTTTGCATCAAGGTTTGATTATGTGATGGCCGGTAGAACGGATGGGATTCTGTACGGTAGGGTTAAAAAGGCGTTTTCAACAAAGATAAATAGGGAATCAATGGCTGGGTTTCATTTCAACATATGAGGGAATCTTTTTTTTTCTGGGTTGCTCTGGAGTGTTTCTTTTCTTTTGCATAAACGGAGCACGGTGGTCCCTTCAATTTGTCCCATGTGTTCTTTGATGTAGAAAAAATAGGTGGTTTTCAGATAGAAATTCTGTAGGGACACTACTGCGCCCGAGTTTGACGGATATGATACCGTGGGAATACCATCCTCTGTATGCAAGCCTCGTGTTGTAAAACCCGAAAATATGCGCGTGATGATACAAGTAACATGCGGGTCCCAAGACTTGCCAATTTCTCAACAATCCTCAAGAGAGCACTCGTGCAGTAGCACCTTGTCACCCCACAAAAAAAAGTGTGCAAGGACAAGCACTGTATGTTGATCCGGTTGGTGGTACAGTATCTTTGTTGGCATGTACCCCATCTCTATTGGAAAGGTTCCTACCGAAAGAATTGGTCTCTGCAACGTGCTCACACAGACCTTCACTCAATCACCCACTCACTCACTCACTCACTCACTCACTCACTCACTCACTCACTCACTCACTCACTCACTCACCCACACCAAACGATACGACAGGGCACTAACGGTTCCGACGAGGCAGGCGTGCCTTGTGATCGAGATGAGCAGATCCCGACCGGTGAGCGAAGTTTATTTGTTCCTTGGCAACTTTTAGGAGCCCCTCGGAGAGGAAGAGAAAAAAAAAAAGTCACCATTAGAAAGTTAGTGAACAGTTAAATCGGGTTAATCAGTGAAAATACTCCTGCTCAGCAAATAAGCTAGAGGTGGCTTAGTATAATAACAATACAAGTGGCCTGAACACACCAAAATTCCAGGCTCTTTACAAAAAATAAATGTGTTCTGCTTCAGACACGGAATGCTTAGTTGCAATGTACAATAAGTTATATCTTCCATGCAAAAAAACAAGGGTCTTGGCAGGTATTATCATACCATTAGGGAAAGGATATTCCAGACATCACCGCTCCCAAAAATTGAAGGGAAAAATCCCAAACCCTTTTTTATGTGGGTGCCGTTGTAGAGAATTACTCTCTTGAAAAAAAAAAAAAATTCTACATTGTTTCCGGTAAATAGTGGTTGGGTACGGTAATGATATGATAGCTCGGAATCCTTCATTTCTGGTGTGTTTTGGTCTCTGTGTGGGCACCGAACGACTTCCATTGCCCGTCTGATAACTACCAGCCGAAACGGAAAGTCTGGCTTGTCCACAAAGTGGGTACAGTACTCTACCTGTACTGAAGAGCCGCTCTTCGGCTCAGAGTATGTCGAGTGGATACAGGGGGAATTGGAAATTCTATTCGCAAATCTAGAGAGTAGGTATTGCATTGAAAAAAGAGAGAAAATCTGCGAGGGAGGATATAAGCTAATTCAAAGGGCGGGCTTAGAGGAGGCGGCGATTGGAGTAGGTTCGATAGGGAGCTTCACGAAAGGTTCGCCCATTGTTGGTAGGGCCTCGGCGGGTAGGTAAGTACCATGCTATCATACTACTGAGTACAGTAGTTCCACCATGGACTGCTATCAGGGAAATGTTATTCCAGGACAGATGGTAGGAAATCTCATATCATACAGTACGCACCTGAGACCTAAATGATACTATTCTCCACTTTAGTTTATTTGGGTTGACCTGTACAGTAGATTGTAGTCGGCATTCGAAAGGAGTTGGGGTGAGTGGGTTTCATAGTCCAAGGCGTGTACTATACCTGGCTCCCTGATATGATATACCGGTAGCCTATGAGAAGAACTGTGAGATGATAGCTTCTGATGTGCGTCTCCTCGTACAATATGGATTGTATTACAGCCACCCGTCGGCCTCCTTAATTCACCGCTCAGGCACCATCCTCCTCTCCTCACATACTGTACCACTTTTTCCACCACGTTTCTTGAAACTGGCGCTTCCCCTATCTCGGCTTAACCATTATTCTATCGTCTGCTCGACCCCTACAATTACCTGTGCCACGAGGCCCTTACGGTCGTACCTCGCTATAATGGATCTCTTTATACGAAATACCTCACTATGGCAGTGAATCCTCTGCGAATCTACCCCCTGCTCCCATACAAACGGTTCACACTATAAGGGATTTCGTTCGAAACCTCACTATAGGGAATGAAGGATTCTGAGCTCCCGGAATTCGTTGTAGCTAGATGCGACTGCAGTCTCCGTGTTACTTCTCTCTGCTCATCCACGGTTTGTTTGAAAATACTTGCCCCTTTATATCTGTATTTTGAGCTGAAATCATTCCACTAGTTATTACACCCTTGGCAGGACCGTATAGTGGCTATCGTGGTGGTATCTATGAGGAGGTTTCGTACACAGTTCCGCATTATCAGAGAAATACAACGCCAGCCAGAATTGGGTCGATATGCAGCAACAACTCCACATCTCATCTTCGATAAGGAGCAGTATCGATCCTATGTTTGGGCTAGCACTTTCACCCAGGAGATTTTCTCCTAGGTTTGGGCAATTCCAGGACACAACAAGTACAGTCTTCCCAGCGTAGTAGATGGCAGATTCCGGAGTCCCACTGGTAGGAGCAGGGGGGGAATTCCGCTTTTAGACCTGGGACATGGCGCGGTACCGGGTTTCCATCTCTTGTGATAGAGGCCGGATACTCCGAAACTTTAGTGGAGCTCCGGTGCGGTATGCAGTAGTGGCTGGCTAGTTCTTCTGGAGAGACCAAAGCGGTAGTCATCATTAATCTCGATAAAGCAACTCCCTCGAAGTCGAAACTTTGGCAATGATAGACCGGGGGAGCCCTCAGCGAGGCGACACCCTCAGCGAGGCTTGGCGATATTTGGCAGCAAAGAATGCCCGCGGTCCAAGATAGTTGTGAGCCAAGCCATGCCGCGCCTCGCTGAGGGTGTCGCCTCGCTGAGGGCTCCCCCGGTCTATCAAACCCTTCTCATCCTCAGACCTGAACTCAACATTCCCTGTTACCTAGTAAGATGCGAGCCTCCCTTATTGCGGTTAATGGCCATGCTACACCACACCTATGTCCAACGAACGGCTCATGCCATCTGATAATGTTTTTGATGAACCGCGCCCTCGTGCGGCCGCCATTTTGATACCTCTCAAGGAGCTTTCCGTGACGGATTTGGGTCCGTTTACTTATCTCCTGGATTCATAAGACATGGCAAAATCTCTCTCATGCATTAAGGTCTAAGGTTTAACCCCTTATAGCTAGATCATCACCGCTCTGGTATTCACGGTATCTTCTTCGGGTATTGGAGGTCATGAGCCATGTGACTATTTAGCCATAATGGGTTAACCTTTTTGCGCTGATGCATGAGAGAGATTTTGCCAGGTCTTATGGATCCAGGAGATAGGAGTCCTCTCGCCAGATTTTGTGTGCGGAATTTAGCACTGTCTAGAGCTAGGCTAGGTGGAATTGGTAATGCATCTAGGAGAGGCCTGTTAAGCCCAAGTCGCTACTGGTGGATGCTGAACAGAGTAGATGCGGATTGTCCCCCCGATTATCCCCGTTGTGCTAGAAAAGGTCAACACTACTAATACTAAGATATTCTAGCGTATGTCGGTGCTCGAGGGAGCATACTCCGGGATTGTGACGAAACGACTTAGGGCGCGCCCACCCAGCCGTCTGCGTCTAAAATTTATATAGTGAAAGTAGATAGCAAGAATTGTGTTATAGCAGATGGCTGAAAAGTGTTTACATAATTTTTGACCATCTCAAACTCTTGCTACTAAACAATCAAAATGCCACACATTGCTCCAGAGGTGGGGTTGCAACAGTCACGATACACTCGTAATGGTGCTCAAGGTAAAACCTCCAGACATCCTGCATGAGTACAACCGTCAAGCCCACCTTGATGGTGCCGTCTCTACCGCTAAGCGGTGCTCTCACCCTAGGGGGGACGAGGGCACGAAGGGGTGAACAGGAAAACATCAGACATAACATGTGTGAAGACACAACAAGGACTCGTTAAAAAGTTCGATATATCTAGATTGCAAGAGATGGGGGTTGGCTTCAAGCCTACTTGATTGGTTGCTTTTCGTAGTAGACGTCCGATTCCCGAGGGGATGTGATCTTGGGATTTCGTTGGGTTGAGGTAGACCCTCTGCCACTTATACTCGTAGAGCAACAATCCAGGCCCACCCATACCCCCCTAATAATCCCCATTCGCGCACCAACACTCGTGCCTTCTCCACCCCTCCTCCTCTGCTTCTCTCCCTTGCCCCACCACCTTAACTGACCCCTATCAGCTCTCTAGCTCACTCTTTGTCATGGACGCACTTTCCCGGATCTTGTGGACGTAGGACGCTACCGCTTCGTCTTTGCTGTCCGCCTCTATGACGATTTCCTAGATCCGGTGGATTCTAGTGGTGCGCTCCCGGGGTGGAGGAGGATTGACTTGGGCACCTTTCAGAAAGGAGTAGTGGAAGATTCAGGCTGATGAGCTGACATCAGCGCACCAAAGTCTTATTACCTGTTCTGTTCCGCGCCGCAACGAGGCAGGTAGGAGTGTGGATGTGCCCGTCAATGATGGGGTGTTCACTTTTTCCCCCCTCTCCCTCCCTGTTAGTCCCGGTACACGCTGTGATGCCGGGATTCGCGGTGCATGTTGAAGTATGATACCTGGTGGTGCGTGGTTCTGTGCCTTGCTGTAAGATACCATATCGAACTGGGATCCCGTAGACGATTTTCTGCATCGTAGACTGCGAGTCCTGCACTCTTCCAGGATGGGAGCTGTAGTGTCCTTAGCGGACGGGTGCTTTAAACCGTCGACGCTCGCCACCGTGGGTGCTGGGGCGTTCTCTGGGGAAGGGAAGAAAGGCTCCGTGAGCGGAGGATATTATATGATATCAAGCGGACTATCGGGGCGTCTGAGTCTAATCCTTTCCCAGAGACTTTGATACATTATCGAGTGAGATTATGTGATTGCAGCAGGTGTTATCATAGCTCTAGGATTTATCATTGGGCAGCGTTTGTGAGGAGGGCTTGTGACCATTAATTAATTAGCCACTCTGGAGTGGTACAGTATCAGGTCTGGGGATGAGGGGGGTGATGGAGAAGAGAGTATCGAGGCTATATCATAGTACTCAGCGAAAAGCTTGACGTGGAGACTCCCCGGACGCCCGGACTACAGCAACACTGATTTTGGTGGAGCCTGTGCGATACGATATGAGGAAGCAAACGTGGCCAACCGCCTTGCTATTGTAGAGTTTCCTTCACCAGAAAATCCCTTAGGTTACCCGAGTTCGGATATCTAAGTAGTCTTGGGGGGGGGGTAGCTATGCTTCAGTAGTATCATAGAGCGGATTAAACCATCTTAACCCCCACACATACCGGAGTCCATAATACCTGCTACCACACCCCTTATCCCTACAGTGCCCATCACTACATCCACCCCCAAGGGGAGTCGAACCCAGTTCATGCTATGATAGCAGAGACCAGCACTGTAACCTCCTGTCTGTGAAAAACCGAGCAGCAATGTTATAATACGATAAACTTTTCGGGAAACTCGAAGGTGAGGTGAAGAAATCACTACCCCCCACTCCTCCCCTCCTCCTCCTCCAAACTCTGTGAATACCAATTCCGCGGCAGATGTGGTGGGGGAATATATCGAGCATGTATTATACACCGCTATTTCGCTCACAAAGCTAATGCAAGAACCATCGCCATAGCCACAACGCCCAACAATAGGGACATCTCTTAAGTTGCCCACAGCGCCGAAGCACCGGCACCCGGTGCTAATATAATCCCTCACCCGCCCCGATCGAAATAGGGCACGGCTCGTATTTCACACGAAACCGTACCATCCGCTCCCGACTCTGGGCGCCGAGATTATTTTAAGCTAAGATCCGACGGCTTGGGTCGCTGTACCCACCAAAGCTAGTCGATGGAGTGCCAGCATTGTGTAGGAATATGTCCTAGACCTGAAATGATGGTACCCGTATACCGGTAGTCCTAGGCTTGGCACCAGCCGCTCGTATCTTCTTCCTAGCAAACTTGTTGTGTTTTCTCACGACATGAAAATCGTAAGAGAAGAGAATACGCCCGCATATAACGATGAAATACATCTACGTGCTGACAATACTTTGCGACGAGCGTAACCGTAAATACTCACAATCCTGATATCTATCTATTGCCCCTTTCAGCTGTGGAGGAGGAGGAGGAGGAGGGCTGGTAGCTTACGCTCTAGATACGGAGGTTGAGCATGGGATGAAACGTGTACAAAATGTGCCGCTCCACTTGCCACGGTGAAAGAATGCAACACCAATGACCGAAAGTTCGCATTTTTTTTTTTTCGGGGATCCCGTGAGAACTTAGAACCGTGGGGGAAAAAAAAATTACTCTCCATTCTGTGCGGACAATTATTCCAATCTCACCCTGATAAAAAGGCATGCCATTCTAATCCCAAAATGAGATTATGGCGTATAGGATATCATATAATACTTGTATGGTTCAACTTTCTTAAAACCTAACCTGGTGCATCCAATAACATACAAACCGGCAATGAAATAAGTCCTCCAAAACAGCAGATATCAGAGTAAAATAAAAATAAAAAGTGTGAGAGTATCTGAAATGAGGATATCAGTTCTCTCTTGGGGGGGGTTGAAATGAAAGATACAAAAAAAGAGTTTGTATGAGGATGTAACATGTACTGAAAAGTTCAATGTAGTAGACTGAGATAAATATTGAGAAGGTGGAGCTCTCCATCAATGATTGTCTTCAGAAATGATGTGACATTTTTCTAATAGGAAATCAGTCAAATAAAAATCTACTGTATACTCCAGGATCAAACTGGTTTACACAATGTTGATAACATACACTCTGGCGGTCAGGTTCTCAGCATCGGCAACTCCAGTCACTTCGGTGTGTGTTTCATCACCGGTCCACATTTTAGATCGGTTGCGTTATAAAGGAAACGATCTGTTGGAGTTTGTATGTATGTATGTATGACCGTATTCTGACAGGAAGCTGTGATGTCGTGCTGCCCGCTACTCGTAGATGTGCGCTCTCGCTCCCTTAGCTTACGGGTGAATCTACTCGAATAGAACCGTAACTTAGTCCATACGGTATATCGTATCACAACTCCCAGTGGGATGGATACCTGCATAGGGTCTAGATCCCTTCCTCCCCCTCCCTTCACTCCGGTAACCAGAGGCCGCCGACCGACCGGCAGCCGAGGTTGCGGGGAATCTCTCCGGTCCAGCCTTCCGCCGACAAACTCCCATTATGCTACTAGTCCCTACAATGAAGTAGTTAACCTATGATACACTCGCAAGGTCAAACAAAAGGTATCTCACGTGGCATGACTCGAGGGCTCAGCTCGCCTCTTCTCGGTAAGTGCCGTAAGGAACTCGATTATGGGTCCAAGATAAACTCCCCCCTACCGGTACCACCCTCGGCAAGCAACGCGGGGGGAACTCCGCAAACTCAGCCCTCGGTTGAGTCAAAGAAAAAGGAATATGCACAGCGCCTTACTAGGAAAGGCAACTACAACGTCCTGGCACATCTACTCGAGTATCCTCCAAAAAACGGTACTCGAGTAGAGGTATGATTCTTGTGCTTGAGGCTTTATGGTACTTGTACTAGTACCGGGGCGCTACTCGAGTCCAAGACGGTAAGTGCACGAGTAACACAGCTAGCGCATGTCACCGTCCTCGAGTACCGTAGACTTCTCTTCTCCCACCTCCCACCACGACGAGCCAAAACAAGACCCCATGATCTCCAGGATGATGCCACACCGCAGTCTGACAAATAATGGGCCAAGGACAAACTCGGCACAAGCATGCACATACCTCATTCAAACATTCAGTCAAAAGCCTCTTCCCCGGGTAACCCCTTTACAACCCTTTTGCCCCACCAAGCAACCAACAAGACAGCGCTTATCCACGGTGCCTACCCACACTCGCAATCCAAACAACAAAATGTCCAGCACAGCCCCGACGCGTTACAAGCTAATATTCTACGTCCCGCCGGGGGGCGTAGAGGCCGTTAAAGCCGCAGTCTTCGAAACAGGCGCGGGCGAGTTCCCCGGCGGAAAGTACAAACACACCTGCTGGGAGACAACCGGCACTGGCCAATTCTTGCCCGTGAAGGGCGCTGGTGCCAAGCCGGCTATTGGGGAGCTCTTGGCCGATGAGAGCGCTTTTCGTTTGGAGAGGGTTGAGGAGGTGAGATGCGAAATCCTTTGTATTGATCGGGAAACAACGGCAAAGGCAGTGGGGGCATTGAAGAGGTGAGCTTTCTTTCTTCTTTTACTTTTACTTTTTCTCCTTCCCTTTTCCTTCCCTCTATCCCGAGTAGATTCCCTTTCCTACGAGTAGTATTCACGGTTGGATTGCGCAACCTCATCTTGGAGAAGTGATCGGGTTGGCTCTATCGGTCCAGTCTCGTCAGATATATGCTCATATGACGCAGGGCACATCCGTACGAGGAACCCGCATACGAAGTCTACAAGCTCGAAGACTTTTAATTCTCTCATGCTACCCTCTCCCCGAAATCCCTCAGAGTGATTGGAATCCCATGCTATTCTACGGTATAAAATCAAGTAAAATAAAATAATCACTCTTTGAATGAAACTGGTTTTGCGGAACGGGCAAATGCATTCGGGCAATTCGGAAGGAATTCCGTTGGTGAGCATGGCGAAGGCTTATTTCTGGTGACCCGCGATGCTGGGCTCTCCGATCCTGATAATCTCTTTTGATTAAAATAGGAGCTCAATACCTAGCCCTACCCGAGGGTCATACTTTCGAAGAGCTATCTGCCGTTATGCCCCCTAGCTGTACCACCGGCACTGGTTCGTAACCTCCCGTAAGTCGTACGGTGCTTCCGCGTACCCGTGCGATGCGATGATATTAAAGGTACTGTAGTCCATTGCAGGAAGTTATCCTGCTATCTTTGGTGTTGCCACGAAAGATTCCTCCCGATGGCCGAGGATATTACAGTGAGATGAAGTTACACCGCTTAGAGTACAGTATGATACTCGTAATTGAGCAAGCATTGTAAGCAAGACAGCGATTGCGTACCCCCGGGATTCGGCTCTTCAGCTTACGAGTAGATCCCAGCGCCATGTGGTATCGGTAGTAGTCATGTTCGCGGACGTCGTTCAATCACGAGTGTGATAGAGTACTTGCACGTCTTCCGCTGCTCCCGGAGTGCCGCCAGGATACCGGTATGAACGAAGGGATTCTTGTTCCCAAGTCCCGAGTGTTGACCAACCAGGCCCCTGATTTGCCATGACACGATCCTCGAGGCGATTCAGTACAGTACCGGTACAGCACACCAGGGCCCGAGTGCGGCCCAAGAGCAAAGGGTGGCCACGCTTGCAAGTTGCTCTCTAGCGCCCCCGAACCTTACGGTATGTGACTGCTTGTCCAGAGAACGAACGCTCTTGACTGGCAGCCCAGTGCTGGCGTATCCCGCCCCCCAGCTCCTCCTCCAATCGTACCGGCAGTGTTTAATCGCTTATCCCGCGAGAGGCCCATGTTTAACATTTCGTGCACAGCCCCAGGAAAGATTTGCCAGGGATCGCAAGGGCGTTGGGTGGAGCTGACTCGGGGCGCCTGCTCTCTCCCGTCCGGGGTGGCGCCTGCCTTGGTTCCACACGGAACCCCACTGCTGATCGGCCAGAGGCCCGACCTGCCACGGATATCAATCAGCGGGACAGAGGGGATTTCAGAAGAATCCAATTCCAGCAGATACAAGTACCGGTATCCCACGGCGCAAAAATCTTCCTTCCCAAGACGGTGGGCGGCGCAGGCAGCACAGACCGGCGTCCGCCTGAATAATCACGTAGAGAGACAAGGGACACGGTAGGGAGTGAGGGAGCCAAGAACTCGGCAAACAAGGAAAATAAAGAAATCAGCGATCGCGAATCGTGTGAGGTCCGTGCACCGCAGGGCTTGATGAATGCGGGGAAAAAAGATTGGCAGCGAGACCAAAGATACGCCAATGTTCTGTCGAAACCAAACCCTTCGTCTAGTATTCCGGGATTTCGTAGACCCTTTGCATCACACCGGTGGGATCACAATAGATGGCGACCTCAGCACGAAAATCTAACGATAAACATCCGGAGCAAAGGCTATAAGATCTGGAACGTGACCTGGGCGACAATTCCCTGGGGGGGGCCCGCCACGATATTAGGGGATTTCTGTCGTGGGGTGTTTTCTCCACTTATCTTGCATCACACAGTTGAGCAACGCTGTCAGATCGAGCGCTTGAATATGTATGAATGTGATACCCACGCCCCCTTTCCGAACCGGCGAAATGCCATGGTGTGCTGAACCTGCTCGCTTGTTCAGTTACCATGCAGACACCTTGGCGCCAAGGTTTCTGCACGCCAACCGAACCAGCGAGTGGAATTATACGGCGCTTTTCTTGGCAAAAAATAAAATAAAATATCCGACATCTAGTAATCCTAATCAGGTTTGCTGGTGGACCCAAACGGGACTCACCCTGCCCCCATCGGTCGAAATGGCTACTCCCATCCAAACCACTACCTGTACGAGTACCGCACAAGTACCGATACCCAGAGAACAAACGGTTCGAGGGATTGGAGTTGCCATCGATTTTAGAAAACACCGGTGTACCGTACTCGAGTACTAGTAATAGCAGTTTTGTATATAGGGTTGGCGGCCGGTCTAGTCTGCTTACCGGTACCACACGCAAGGCCACACCCCCCCCCCCCACACATTGGTGGGCTGTGTTAGGGCCCTCAATACAGCAAAAATTCACGCTGATCCTCTCCGTGGAGCGTACGTCATTGGGTGCCACCTTGAGCTCGTCCCCCCCCGGAACGCGGGCGTTGATAGGTGTTTGGGAGAGGAGGGAAAGGGAGGGTTTGGTGTGTGTCGCGAATATCACGGTAAATTAGTCTTTGCACGGCGGCGACGGGGGCGAAATGTGGGGACCTCACCCTGTGAGTGCCCCACACAAAGAGAGGTTTAAGTCGGTTATAAAGTGGTCGAAGATCCCCCGGTTGGAAAGGGTTCAGTAACATCCCTCGAGAAACATATGGTACTTTGATCACTGTTCCATATCACCTACTCTACCCATACCACCAGTATCATACCTCAGACCAAAGCACCTCTTATCACTCGAGGAAGAATCTCTAAACCATGACTACTACCCCGGGATTACCTTTCGATATGGCCGCTACCAAGGACACCACCATTACCCCAGATCCCTATCCCGAAGGTCTCGAGGACCGTCGAGGAAGCAATGGAAGTGACATTGTCGACCCCACGCCCATGTCGAAGAGGGACCGTAGAATGTATTCACACTTCCCCCTCTCCTCCCTCCTTATCACCCCGTATTGACTTTATGATAGGAGTAAGGAATGGGACGCCTCCAAGGTCCCCCCTTCAAGATTCCAAAAGGTCGAGGGTTCGGTATGTTCAAACCCTCCCTCCCTCCCTCACCGAGCTCATCCGTATCCTCCAAAGAGCGCTACTAATAGTTCGCGATAAGATTTATGCCACACCCAATTCCCGCGATGGCCATATCGCCCGCAATAAGATTCACGGATTCAAGGAGAAAGTCAAAGAACTTGCTGGCAAGAACTAAATTTGCAAAAAGTCTGAATTAACGTACGGCGCGAGATTATTCGTTCTCGAGTATCCATCCGTTCGGCGGTGTTTTTCTTCTCCCTTCTTTGTCCATCTATCCTGGTTGAGCGATTGGTGTCAGCGGATTTTTATTCCTTTCTCTCTTATTCCTTTTCCGTTGTATCGTACTCGTTTTCAATTTTGGTATTGGTAGCATACCGGTAGTGGAGGGGGCTACGAACAGTTTGGGTTGGGGGGGGGGGGGGCGATTGTTCACCGTCGTCTCCCTTGTCCAAGGTCCCCTCTCTTGTTTCTTCTATTCTACCCGGAACTATTATATACGTTCAGGAGTGACCGACCTGCCGTTGTGGTGTTTTGTCCGACATCCTCCTTTACTCCTCCGATCCATCTCTTTTACTTAAAAATTCTCCCCATCAAAGTCAAAGTCACGTACCGTATCTGTACCATAATCCGGTGTCGGGGGGGGGGGATGGAGTGCCGCAGCGCATGGTGACCGGTTTCTTTTTTTTTCCATTCATCTACGTGTAATCCAAGTCAGTCAAGTTTGAATAAGATTTAAAGCGAACCCTGTCTTCCATCCTCTTCCTTGTTTTCATTTCTCTTTATCACCATGAAATCGACCCACGTCACATGCCAGCCAGTTTGCCATGCGCCCACAAAACCGACCAGATTAGCGTCCAGTGTATCATACCTGCACCGGTAACTTTAGCTTAACCCTCCGCAGATCCCATCCATCCCTCCTCCATCAACCAATCAATTAATTAATGAGCTGCCCCCTCCCGACATCCCCTTACCGGTAGCGTGCTAGTACGATACTGCACCCCGTCGCGTCAAGCCCAAACCCCGCAGCTCACGTCCGCACCACGACGAGTGACGGCTTATGACTTTTTAGACCAAATACCGTACTATTCCACCGACCAGTCCACACACAACACCCTGACCTAAGCGTGGGCAGGAATTCACTACTTGTACTATGATATGCCCTGCGCGCCGGGGAAGCCAGATATATCTATCATACGGTACTCGTACAGCAACGGTAATATATCCGCCATCACGGACATGCCAGAAATGGCTACGATGGGCATCGCAGTCACGAATTGGGTATCGTACCATGCTGTAGGTTATCTAGCGGCGGGTCGGCCGGGGTGATGGGACCACAGTGACTGTAAGTTAATGTACGAGTATCATACGGTACTCGTATGAGCATAGCGCTCGAGTTGCAGCATCATAAGTTAACCGTGGGGCTATGGAGGGAGGGAGGGATAACCCTGGCGCGGGGATGGTCGGAGTGATGTCCGGGTCGCGAGATGGTATCATGATTATCACATCGTACCGCCGTGGTATGATATATAATAATACCAGTAACGGTATGAGAGTTTGCCTGCTTGCCTTGCTTTTGCTTTCTTGTTTATTTACCGGTATTCGTCCATCCCTCGGTGATTCAGTCCTGAAGATGGGGAACAGGGATATGATACCGGTACGGGTATTTCGCGGTATGATATGATAAGCAGGATCTAATTCCCGGTTTATCAAAGGGTGACAAGGGTCCACAGGGATGGACGAAGGTTCTTAGCCTAACAATGCCCTTGTGTTTTGCGCTCTTCCGTTGCCCTTTACCTTACCTGTACTGGTACTGGAGGGTACCGGAGCCAGGAGCCCCCCCTTCCCTTCTTATCTTACCGTACTTTACCTTTATACTGTAACCTACCTACCTACCTATCTACCTATCTACCGGAGCCTTGTCTTTTTTTTACTATCATACCGGCGCTGTACTGTACTAGTACTGTACCAGATCACGTTCTTCTGCGTTGGATCGTAACGGCATAATTGCTTTCTTGGCCTTGCTCACATTTCCCCGATCCGCGGTTATCAAGTCATCCATCCATCTAGAGCTTTTTTTTTCTTCCCCTTTAACCTCTTACTTTTTTTTTCTTTTCCCCAAGGTACTTACCTACAAGTGCTTTTTAACTTGACGGTCGAAATGAGGGCTGGTATGTTTGATTGTTCTTCATCCCTTCCTCCTTTCCCTGCCGGGTTTTCACTGCAGGCGGTGATGGTGCAGGATACGGCTGACGTTTGTTCTGGGAGGTTGTGGTTCAGAAGAAGCGGTGCTTGATGATATTATTAGGGATGGTTCTGCTAATGTGTGAGTTTTTCTTCCCTTCTCTCCTCCTATTATGGTTTCGGGAGCTTTTCAAGTCTTCCCGGTTAGGTTTGCTAACCGGTGTTTCGACTTTGCAGTGAGGAATGGCCCGAGTTGTCGAAGAGGTTGATTGAGAGGCTCGACTACGTTCGTCTTTCTCCCGTTTTTCCTCGTTGGGAGAAGCCGCCATCGTGTTTGCTATAATTCTTGACGGGGTATGTTGTGCTAACTCTAAATTTAAGATTGCTCGCAATTCTTTCCCAAAGCCTCAGACCTCCACCCTCCCTGAAGAGATCGACATTGTTTCTGCCGCGCCCTCACAGGTCAACACTGTCCCAACCATTTCGGCGGAACCTTCTACCATCACTGAGCCAGATACACAGGCGACCACTGGGAATACTCCTCCAAGCTTCAGTCAGGATGGGGTTTCGTCACCATCCTCCCCAAAGATGCCGCCTCCGCCTGTTGTCCCTGCCTTCCCATCCCCTCCTCCGGCACCCTTTATTAGGGAAGCTACACCCCCTCCACCTGGAACTCTAGATTCGGAGGACGAGATACTATTGGCTTCCCTATCTAGTACCCTCACAACTCAATTTGATGCAGCGCCACCATACACCATCCAGCGTCTCTCAGAATTAATCCGCTATCCAAATGCCCATTACAAGTCCCTATCGAAATACCTTCGCGCAATCCAACGCGTCCTATCCGTCTCCTCGCCAACTACTGCATTCCCGCTTCCGCTGAGTGCAGTGGATAGTATGCCAAATGGTGCTGGGTCCTTTAATCTCGGTAGCGACGAAAGTCTTGGAGGCGCGCTGTTGAGCCCTATTCCGTGGTTGACGGAGTCATCGCTGACCGAGGGTGCCGAGGGGGTCAATGGAGTTAGTCAGGGAGAGCTATTGAGACAGGAGCAGGAATTGAATATCGTTCCTGCGGCTCAAGTTTCTAGTCCCCCTGAGGCGGGTATGCATGCCGAGGGTCCTCCTGCTTTGGGTCCGGAGGATGTAGGCCCGCAGCCGGAGGGGACGGTGTTTCCAGATCCGCCGGCGACGATCGAAGAGGCAAGGAGTCCGAGGCCCGCGCCTGTTGAGGGAAAGGAGGAGGAGATGGGGGATGCGGTTGGGGGTGTTAGTAAGAAGGAGGCCAAGGATGGGGAGGGTGAGGTAAAGGAGGCGGAGGTGGAGGTGGAGAATGAGGTGGAGGAGAAAGTAACAGAGGGTGAGGGGACTGAAAAGGAAAGGGAAAAGGAAGCCGGTGAGAAGGAAGAGCAACAGCTGGAGGACAAGAAAGACATTATGGACCTTGACACGAAGGAACTGGAGCCTCCAGAAGAGCCCGTAGCAACCAAAACAAAAGAGAAAGGCGAGTCATTGGAGATGATGCAACTTGATGCCCCAACACCGGATACTAAAACGACACCTCCGGCAACCGGCAACATGTCAGACGAGGGGGATAAGGGAACAATCTCCTAGAGTCCCGGAATTGGGCTGCGGTGCTTACATTATTTTTCCTAACTCTAGGCCTTGTTTCTTTGAATTTTCCATCTAACGGCTTTCAGTATCTTTACACTTGTTTTTCTATTTATTGCACTTTCTGCTCATAGCTCGGTCAAATTGACTCCAACGGGAATCCGCCTATCTGTACAATAGCATTAATACCCGACAAAATGACCTTGCCCTTTTTTTTTTTTTTTCTCGAGAAAAAAACCCGCTCACCTAAGAACACCATTATGAAATTGGAAGGGCTAGATTTCCGGGCACCTTTCCATTCCCCCCACAACCGCACACCAATAATTCTCAGGCAAAATTGAAAAGCCAGGAGTCGGAAAAAATACCACCAAATAATGGCGGTTAAGCTCTCGCTGTCAGGTTCTAAGGGTTCCTCGTCATCATCTTTGGTGTCCTTCAGAAATCATCCATCCTTTCAAGCTCTTCGTTGCACTATTTCAGGACACTCTCCTCGCACCACTGCGAGCACATTTAGCAATACTATTGGTACTACTATCACAACACCCTCGAGTACGATAGCTTCCAGCGGCGAGTCATGGGCAAGCCCGCATGTATCACCACAACTCCCTGCGACAACTTTGTCTTCATCTACACCATCTCCAGCCACTACTCCAGCCGTCACCGCCTGTTCCTCTTCTGGCCTTACAACAACGGCAGAGACGGCACCAAAACCGGCAAGACCATCATTTTCACTCCCACCACCTGAAGATGTTATAAGACTCCTTCTCTCGACAACAACATACGTATACGACAACCTCACCAAGTTAATAGATATAAACAACTCCTTACGCAGGCCGGGCTTGCGAATCCCGGGGGACCAGCCTATTTGTCAAGCTGACATGCTTAGGCGTGCGGCTAACCCCCGCCATACTGCCATAGCTGTCAAAGGCTCGTCATCGACTTCATGTCCAAATAGAATGGCCCACGACGCACTCCACATTGTGAACTCTCACCGCGCTTTCGCCCGAGCCATTGAAGCTGAGATAGCGAAGTTGAGTGCTGCATTAGAGTACTTCTCGCCTCTATCTCATCCCTCGAGACTGCGCTCGTTCGTCTCCTCTTTGCCTATATCTACCAGTGGCGGCGACTTGAGGGTGAAGATGGGTAAAAAGCATAAGTACATTGGTGGAGGGAAAGTGACGATCTGGTCAGACATCGGAAAGATTATACGCATGTATGATTGGTTGTGGACCTATTCATATTCTGCCCGTGTGAGAAACTGGCAGGAAGTCATCTGGGCATGTGCAGTTGTCACTGGCGTGTATGGGGCTGGAGGTCTGGAGGGGGTCAATGCCCGGATGAGGGACTATGGGATCGCACATGCAGGCGTAGTTGACAGTTTTTGTGTAGCTTACCGTGCGACGGAGCAGGAGACGGAAACAAGACAGGTGCGGATGATAAGAACAGGCAGCCAGACTAACGCCACAATGCAGGTTGCACCAAGAAGGAGGGTTATCATCAAGAGGAGGATGGCCAAGATTGATGGGAAATGGGTACAGGTCGATCCTAGAGTTATTGTTGCACAAGCGGTAGAGAGCGAGGTGGTTAATGATCCACAAGAGGAGGCGGAACGAGCAGAGAGGAGATGGAAGGTCAAAGCCCATGTACCCAAGGGTATTGTGGCGGCTGGGTTGAAGATTAAGATGCTGAAGAAGATGATTAAGGGAAAGGGGAGGGAGAAGAAGGCTAGAGGTGAAGCTAAGGAGACCACCGAAGAGGATTCGAGTAATGAGGAATATGAGAAGGCGGTATGGGAGTGAGAAGAGTTGTTATTTTTTTTTCTTTCTGTTTCTGATTCTTTTTTCTTTCTTCTTTTTCTTTTCCTTCTTTTTTCTCTCCTTGCTTTGCTTGGGGTTTTGGGTGGACTTGAACTTGTAATCGACTTGGTGTTTTTGTGACTGCTTGTAAGTAATTGTGTGTTGGTTTTTTTGTTCATGAATGGTTAGTACTATACATGTACATAATGTAACTTGACGGAGGGATTGGATGAGGAAATGATTTGTAGAGCAGGAATAGAGGTATGGGGGGGTTTTTTTTTTCTTTTTTTCTTTTGCTTCTTTTGCTTCAAGAATTTCCCTTTTTACTTGTGATTAGGTTGGTTTGCTTTCGGTTCCCTTGTGAATAGCGTGGGCGATTGGTACATGTAGCTATGCAATTCAATTCAATGGGTGGTACGATATTACAATACTTTTCCCACTAACCTCTTGAGTTATGATACTGTATGATACACATCATTCCCAACATCCCAATCACCACCCACCCCGAACCACACCCTCCAACCCCGCGCCCGATGCCGCCGCCCCCCTAGCAACCCAAACCCCAACAACCGCCTCCAAATTCTCCAAAACAACGCGGGCCTGCTCCCTTACCAACCCATCCGAATCCGTACCCCTCAAGTACCCAACCACCCTCCCAATCTCTGATATTCTCCCCCGGACGACGCCCCACACCCCCTCCCTCCACCCCAACTCCAACCTCTCCCCATCACCGCCGACCAAGGCTTTCAAAACCCCACAAATGCAGACTACGGCGGCGCGCCTGAGCGCAGCCCTCTCGACTCCACCCTCCAGCGTGAGTATGGACAAGCAGACGTCCAGAGCGTCGGATACAGCGTCGTGACCGAGACCGGTCGGGTTCGTCTCTATCGCCGTGCACAGGATCGACAGCGCGCTCGCGCGGATCTGTGTGGTAGTGGTGGTGGTGGGGTTTTGGCGCGCCGCTGTCTTGAGCATTGCCTGTGTGAGGAGTGTTGCTGTATCGCCCGTTAGGGCTTCGCCTTGTCGTTGGATGGTGGATTGGAGGGCTTCGCCGAGGCGGAGGGTTTGGTCTTCTTCATCGTTGGTGTTGTTTAGATACGCTTCTACCAGCATTCTCGTCACGGTGACCGGGTGCTTGTCCGTCAGGGCTGATAGACACTTTATCACGTTTAGGTGCACGAAGCTGTCGTCGTCCTTCAGTTGGGCGATCAGTTGCGAGAGGGTGGTTTGTATGTTTATTACTGGCGATTTTGCCAGGATTAGTTCCCGTAGGAGGTGCAGACCGTGGGCGCGCACGGGGATCAGTGGGTCGCGGATGTATGAGAGGGCGAGTTTGTAGGTTTCTTTTTGGCGGGTGAGGATGGTTGTTGTTGTTGAGGAAGAAGAGTGGGCGGAAGGGGAATGCTGGGTTAATAGGGAAGTCATGTTCAGTGCCTGGCTTTTGACCTCCAAGTTTGTGAATTTTGAAGTGGTGATGTGAACGAGTGATGGCTGGAGGGTTTGTATTAGACGCTCGTCCGTGGGTGTTAGTTTTGTGGTTGGGTTGGAGATTATCGCGCTCAACAGGGAGAGGGTCATTGTTAAGGTCTGGGTTCGCTCTTCTTCTTCTTCTGCTGCTTTGTCTAGCTCTCCTTCCCCACCGCCCATTTTCGAGCCGGGCAGAGACGAATCGGAGACAATCTTCCCAAGACCTTCTAAACTTGGTGTGGCAGTGTCTCTACTAGAGGCCTTCAAGCCGTCTAGATACTCAATATGCTCATCCAACACCCCCTTGACAATCTGTAACACCTCCGTAGGATTCTTAGCGATCGCCTCCTCACGCCCACCCAACACCTCCTGCAAGACCTTGAGCGTGGTAAACATCTTGACCGGATCCTCACCCTCGTTGTTCCGTCGGCCGAGCCAAGTCCTCAAGTTCCGTAGGAAAAAGTCGTTAAAGACATCACCGCTAACCCCACCGTCCCCCAAAAGCCCCAAGAATTCCCGAATCCTGGCCTCAGCCCTGTCAACATCGAACCCCGCAGCGCCCTCAATCCGACACCGGACCTCGATCCCACCCTCACTCCCGGGTCCGAACTCCCATGCCTCCCCGCCAGAATATAGTATCCGCGCTTGAATCCACTGGAGGGTGGATTGGTCGGGGGATGTCTTTATGTAGGCTTTTAGTAGTGCGAGGGTGCGCTCGTGCCAGGTGCTTCTTCCGGTTGACTTTGCAAAATTGGTTAGCGCCCAGAGGGGGAGTAGTATTGGGGATATGAGCCTTTGCGGCAGTGTAGGAGAGGGTTGGGAAGATAGGAGGATTTCTAGGTGGTGAAGAGCGCTCGACAGGTCTATTTCTGAGACTAGGGGTTTGGTGTTGAGGTCTTTGGCCGTGTCATCTCCCATCTCGGCAACCAGGGGCCTTCGAAATGGGGCTTCTGATGTCGTCGATTTGGCGGGTTGAGGGGAGGAGTCTTCAAAGGCTAGTAGTGCCGAGGAAGATTTCTTCTCCTTTGTCTCCTCTACCCTCTTAGGAGTAACCCCCTCCTCCTTCGACCCCGCCGAAATACTCGGATCAAACCTTGATATCAATGGCACAACCAACACCCTCTCCACCGTCTCCTCAATCCCCCTCCCTTTCCTCCCCAGAACATCCGCTATCACGAACCCCGCTGCCCGCACCATCAGGGTATCCTCCGAATCCAAAAGCTCCAGCAGTTCAGCGCAGACTTTAGAATAGTACTCTCCCGCATCCACCGAACTGGGGACAGCGCATATAATATTTGAAGCTTTACTCAGCGCTTCAATGGACAAATTTGGAGGTATCAAGGACGAAGAATCTGCCGGAGTGTCGGTCAACAGAAACAGCTCAATTATATGGCGGACAGCGTCGGGACGTCTGAACGGGATGAGGGAGAGCGTCTTCGCGAGAGGGGTTCTGAAGAATGGGGGTGTTTGGGGAGTTAATAGTTGGAGGAGGAGCGGGAGTAATTGTGGTGTTGGCGTTCTAGAAAGAGAGGCGTTAGTATTCGAGTGATTATCTGTGAAGGTTATATTGGGACTAACCCGTCAATCAAGATCCGAAACTTCTCTCCCACCCCCCCCTATCCCCCCCGTTTTCAGGATTGAAGGCTAATTCAGCGCACCCAGCGATCACGTCCACCAAAACCCGATCACCTACCCTCCGTAGCAAATCTCCCTCGGCCACGACACCCTCCCCCCTGAGCAACTCCAGCAATCTCCCAACGACGAGTCCCAGTAACTCCACATCCTTCCTGTTCCGTGCCTCCTCCACCCTCGCCGTCCCCCGTCCCGTTACAAGCCCGGGCAATGCAGCGGCCCTCGTCCGTCGCTCGATTGGAATCCCAACGCCCCGGGCCAAGGACGGGTATATCCCTTCCAGTACGACCAGGTCTAGTAGACATACTATTACTCTAACCTCCGCAGGACTGACTAACTGTGGACCGGTCCGGTCCGCGCTTGTCCGCGCTTGCGCTTCGGATTTGAGGTTCGCGAGGAGGGTAAGGGCGTGGGTTACTACTGCCGCTGCGGTGGACCTTTCGTCCTCGGGTAATGGTGTTGGTGCCGGGAGTGTCTGAGAAAATTGTTGAAGGAGTGATTGGCCGAAGGGTTTTGGTTTAGCTATGGTTGAGGTTGGTAAGCAGGTCATTTCGGGGGTTAGCAGTAAGTTAGGGAGGCTCAGTTACTCTTGTCAAGAATTGGGGAGAGCAAACGCGTTGCTTGGGATATCACCGGTGAAGCCATACGAATATTCCGCAGTAGAGTATGAAGAAAGTCAAGGATAGAAGGTGGGAAAGTGAAATCCCGAGAAGCTTTTCGAAAACCCGCTTCAATTACAGCATAGTTACCCTCCTCAACGGCAAAACCTTTTTCCGGCGCAGAGCATTTTCCAACCCCACCATAAACTTCCCACCAAAATACACTCCCGAAAAGCACTCCGAAATGCTCCGCTCATCAATCACCCGTCCTCTAACCCGCTCCCTCCTCTGCCAATCTCCCGCCCAATTCCTCTGGTAACCCCCCCAGCCCTCCCTCCAACCCCAACTAACACCCCCAACAGCCCGTTCCCCCCACTCCTCCACCAAAAACCCTTCACCACAACCCCCCGCCCGCTAAAGAAAGCCGCAGCAAAGTCTTCAAAAGCGCACCCCTACGGCGAGAATGCGCAGGAAAAAACGCGCGACTCCCCCTTCGACTACGCCGCGCACTTCGAATCCCTAGAGACCCAATGCGTCGCACACATCGACAAGCTAAAGACCGACATCGCGAAGCTGCGCGCCGGCGGACGCAACGATCCCGGTATTTTAGAGAACATTCAAGTCGTGTTAGACAAGTCCAACGGCGCGAGTGCTTCGCTGCGGGACATAGCGCACGTACTGCCGAAGGGGCGGTCGTTGGTTGTTAGTGTTTATGAAGCCGCGGTGAGTTTATTCGGTCGGGTGAAGCTAAGAGTGGAGGGGGAGGGGGAAGTGCTGATAAGGATGGGTGGGTAGAACGTCAAGCATGTCATAGCGGCGATACAGAAAACGGATCTGAACGTTCAGCCGGTGCCTGATCCAAAGAATGCGCAGTTGATTAATGTCCCGTTGCCCCCGCCGACGAAGGAGACCAGGATAGAGGTTGCAAATATGGTGAGCAAGGCGGGGGAGAAGGCGATGAATTTATTGAGGTCGGCGAGGCAGGACTCACATAAGCTGATTAAGGGGCTCAAGAAGGAGCGGCCTGATGATATCCGGAAGGCGGATAAGCAGCTGGACGCTGTCATGAAGAAAGTTAACGCTGAGGCGAAAAAAGTGATAGATGACGCTAAAAAGGGAGCCTTGGAGAATTGATTAAGCAGTAAGGTTGGTGCAACTGGAGATATCCCAGGACCAACATATGTCTATCTAGATACAAAAGGTTGCTCAAGTTTTAGAAAAAAGGGTGGTAAAAAAAAATACAAATGAGTTTTTGGTTTTTCGCCCATACGACCGTTGATCTGGGTAAATACCCACACAGATCCCTCCTTCCTCCCCCACCCGAAGAACGTAGCACCACGATCCATTTTAATCAATTCCCTTCCCCAGCCGAAATCCCCTCCACCTGGCCAGGCGGAGGAGGAATCAACTCAATCGGTACATTCCTCTTGACCGCCGCAAACAGCTTCCCTTTCACCTTATCCGTATATGACCCATTAACTGTTATAAGCCTATGCACCTCCCTGTACGGCCCGACATCACTAGCGGGATCATCATACTCTCCGGCAACAACCTCCTTCGCTGCCCTCTCTCGCCGATCCCGATACTCCTGCCACCTAGCCGCGGACCACCCCTTGGTATTTTCAGTGACAGGCACTCTATCCAGCAACCCGCTAGAAACCCCGCCGGTGACGGTCAATTGCGTGGCAGGAATATACCCCATCAATTCCGCCTCCGCAAAGCCATCCGGGGAGTATACGCTCTCGGGCAATTCTGGCGGTGGTGGGAGAGGCTTCCTGGCTCGGGTGAATGAGGAAGACGACATGTTCTCATCGCCGCCTCTTCGCCCACGGCCGCGGCCCCGGGATCTTGCACCTCTACCACCTCTGCCACCTCTGCCACCCCGAGCTCCCATACCTATTCCACCATACCCGCCTCTACCGTTGCCACGGCTCATACCAAGCCCACCACCCCTCTGAGCACCAATAAACCCCCTTCCCATGCCTCCGCGAAAAAGTCCCCCCCGCGGAGCGATGATCCTAGGACCCTGATCGGAAGTCGGTCCCTGTGGGGGCGGCGGTGCAGAAAAGTACCTACTAGTAATGCTCCCCTGCCGGTGTTGCTGCTCTCCATCGCGACGCTCCCACTGGGCAAAAACCCCGCCCCCCGCCGCGGTCGGGGGAGCCGGAGAATCAAGTCCTAGATCTTCCGCAGAGGCAGTCACGCGGCGCTCGATCGCCGGGGTGCTTGCACGGCGCATGCGTAGGAGCGAAGAAACGTCGACGGGTATTTTCAGGATTTCTATTACGCAGTTTATGAGTTAGTGGATTACGGGGGAGGTTGTGGAGGATGAGGGGAAGGACTAGGTTTATCATCACTATCATTGTTGTTTCCTTCGTTGCTGATGGAGGAAGCCGAGAACTGGCGGTTTTGGAGAATGAGGGTACGGGTACGGGGGACGGATGCTTGGAAGTTTCGGCCGAACATGTTGTCTGGCCTGTTATCATATCATATGCTTGTGCGGAGGGAGGGGGGAGGTGGGATGACACCCTTGTTCTAAAACTAAAAAAAATTGTGCCGTAATACTATGATGATATCAGCCATCCCACTATCCCACGTGATCTTGGTTCTTCCTCCCCACCAGACCAGACCTTCAACCACCATCACCACCAACACCCACCCACTCATTCAATCCACCCAAATACAAAAATACAAAAAAAACACAAGATGAACCTCCTCCGCACCCTAACCCGCACCCTCCTCCGTCAACCCCTTCTCCTCCCCCGCCAGCGACCCCTCCCCCTCCTCCTCCAACCACTGCCCAACCACCTCCCCATCTTCCGCCACAACTCCACCCAGCCCCCCGCACAACCAGACAAACCTTCCTACGACCTAACATTCACCTGCCGCCCTTGCACCCGCCGTTCCACACACCGCATCAGCAAGCAAGCATACCACACTGGCAGTGTGTTGATCACTTGCCCAGGGTGCAGCAATCGGCATGTTATCACTGACCACTTGAAGGTACGCCCCCCCCCCCCTCAACCCCCAGCTCCATCGCTCCGCACACAAGGGATAACTTTAATACGGGGGGGCAGATATTCGGCGAGACAGTGAGGGCGTTAGAGGAGATTTTACGGGAGAGGGGAGAGGTGTTGAAGAAGGGGGTTGTAACGGCGGAGGGGGATATCGAGTTTTTCCCCGAGGAGGGGAGAGAGGTTAAGGCGCTTGGGAGTGGGGAGGAGGGCAGTAGGTTGTAAGCCAGAGGAGGGAATGGAAAAGGGCATGTTGTACGATATGTATTCTAGAGAGGGGGGAACAGCTACCAGTATAATGTTGATATTTATAAACTGGTCGAGGTATCGAGATCCTGCGATATCGATGGCTACCTTAATTGTAGGCATCAATTGGCACTCTCAGTCACACTTGACACTAGATCACTCGCTGTAGATCATCACCCCACCTAATAACCCATTAAAACCAAATTTATATCAAGCTCGTACCGGTACGCTATCCAAACCAGAAATTACACAAGCCCCCAATTCCAAATCAATCCTGAAAACAAGCTCATCTATTGCACAACCAAGTAATACCGTTTCCGTTACACATATTACAAAAGAGGGGGGGGGGGAAGAAATAAATAAGGAAAAGAAAGGAAGGGAAAATCCAAAATCCCGCAGCCCGAGCAAAATAAATGCAAAATAATACAAACATTCAAGGAGGGAAAGGGGAAATAGGTAACACGACAGGGTCGAGGGGGGGACGGCGATATATCGCCGGCTTAGTGGAAAGACATCACAATATCCAAAATTCCACCGCTTAAGAAAGTGGGGGAGAAACGGATGCATGCAGTCCATGTAAAAAACCCGCTGTCCTCGTGAAAAAAAAATATCGAGCTTGAACACAACCCCAGTCCCAAAATGAGAAGGTATGTGATCTAACCATTACTACCCGCAATCCACCCTCAGCCAGGGTTCAGGATCCCGGGCTATGAGACGAACGAGTGATATATAGAAACCCGTAGCAAGTGCTAATCCCTCTTCGGGACCCAACTAAATCTCTTCTTTATCCTCGAACTTAGCGATCCCTTCGAAGTACCGCCCCGACTAGCACTGCTTTTACTCCTCCCCAAGTTCCCGCTATCCGATTGGAAGGCAGAGTTGTTGGAAGTGGTCAGATGCGAGGCACTGGTGGATCTCTCGCGGGCAATTCTAGCAGGTTTGCCAGAAGTCGATTGAGGCATCATCTGGTATACGCCCGGAGCCTCCGGCTGACGCATCTTGCCCCCGGCCTTTCGCTGCTTGTCCAAGAGGTCCTGGGTATATCCCGGCTCACCTTTACCCTTCAGATCTTCTTTGAGGTAACTCTGCAGCACGATCAGCAAAGACAGATCCATGGAGATATCATACTTGTAAGGTAAAGAACTTACAAAGCCAGGGTATCTTCTATAGCTACCTCCGGGTCCTTGACGCATCATGTCGTACTCTTCATAGTCACCGATAAATTCACCATTGGGTAGTCTTGTCCTCGGTGCCACCATAGCAGTTCCCTGCAAGGGTTTGTGCTTTTCCAGGGAATCAAGTATGTTGGCCATGGGTGTGGCAGCCAATGCAGCAGCATTGCTCTCGCGTAGGGCTTCGACAGGAGGTCTAGGTCCGTTCTGTCTAGCTAGCAGTGTAGAATCGTAAGGTCCTTCATGATGGTAATAGTTGCCAAAAACACCATTGTCCAATCTATCGATAGTATCCGGGCCAGGGATGGAACTCGCTCGACGTCGAGACCTTTGTGAGGAGCAAGGAGGAGGAGGGCCCTGAAGTCTGGCCCTGTCCGTTTTCGGAACACCAGTATTGTGGGAGCGAGACCGAGCATGGGGGTTAGAACGGGGAGGAGGTCGGTCCCTGTTATCTTTGTGGGCGTTGGGCGAAGCCATTGTGTGCTCTGACCGGGGTTGCTTAGAAGATCCTGAAGTACGATAGCCGGAACTTGGCCTTCGACGGTGGACATCGTCCGGGCTAAGGCGGGGTTTATGAGCTACACGGCCGTCCGACTGCAGATTGTGAGCGGGGTTGTGCTACTATCACCAACCGGGAAAGAACACAGGCAGCGGGCGGAGCAGATCGAGGGCATGGTTGGGACAGGATTTGTGTCAGACAACGAACGAAGCAACCAACTTACCCAAGGGTTTTGTTGGCTCATGGTAGTGACAGAGGTCATTCCCGTACCCGAGCAGTCTCAAAGATAGCAGCGGTGGGCAGATAAAGGTTGGGTGTCTTGTGTCCCTTAAGCTCCGGTGAAGGTTCCCTGTACAGCACCGTGGCCATTTGCGGGGGGGGGTAGACGAGAGAAATATGGGGGAGTGCGGGCGCTCCCTGCGAGTTCGTTGAGGCCAAGTATCCTCAAGAGAGTTGACGACGGCCCTTAAAAAGTCCACGGTATGATGCCAACTCTCCTCGAGGAAGGGGGGCTCTGAGAGACAGGAGAGTGGCCTCTGCACGTGGGGCAAACAAGGAGGAACAAACCAGAGGGGGTCAGGAGAAGGGGGGACGATGTGAAAAATTCAAGAACGGTGGATGCACCGTTATTATAGGGATCGGAGGGAATAAATAGTGACTTCGATGGTTGAGGGTACAGTACCACAGCTAGGCTACCGGTATATCCATATTTGGATCACTCGAGCACACTGCACAGATCGAGACAACCCTCGCCCAGTACGAATTTTAAACTACAAGCCTTGCAGTACGAGCACTAGCGCACGATTACAGTGCCGGTGCCGATACTCGTACCTCTGATATGTACCACTGCGACACCCTCCATCCGGGGCCCCGGCTCCCGGCGATGGAGAAAAAAAGGGAAAAAAAGAAAAACAGGAACAAGAAGCGTATCATACTCGTACTGTACCGGTACTAGAGATACTCGAATATGCCTCCAATGAAAAACGCGGAAGCAAAGGGGACAGGAGGAATGGAAAGAAGGGGAAAAATAGCCAATCGTGACGGCACGGATACGAGCATGATAAGAGGGCTGCAATACCGGCACCTCCAACCAGATCAGGGTCCCCGGAGTGGATAGACTACGGTAGAAGCTGGAGAGAGAGAGAAAGAGAGAGAGAAAGAGAGAGAGCTACGGTATCCAACCCCGGTCGCACTGCCGCAATCCCCAATCAAAAGTGACCCAAATGACATGACGATGCTTATTGCGCAAAAGCCTCGTGCCTTATCTAGATCGACTGGTACTTGAGTACCCGAGTATTGTAAAGGGTAGTATTGATGAGTAATAATGGAAAATAGGGTGGTGGAACGAAAACCCCCAGTCTCCCCATCAGAGCAAGGTAATCTCGCCGCGCGAGCGACAGATTATGATGCTCTCTCATTCGGAGAGAAGCCCAAGGAGAGATGCATTAACAAATGCTGCATCCTAGGAGGATCGTGGGGCTAGTGAAACTTCAAATCAAACCCAACTGCCCTGCGGAGCATGCCCACGGTGGGAAACATCGAGCACACTGTACCGGTATGATATGGTAAGTTACCGGTAGACCCTTCTCTTCAATGGCGGGTGATCGACGTTTTCCACAGCCTTACCCTACCCAACGTCATATCATACCGTGCTATTACCACCATCTAGTAAAAAAGGGGGGGGTAGGCAATTCCTTCCATCCCCCACCATTCCTGTCCGTTCCTCTGCTCCAGCCACTCGAGCAGCTGACAACAGCACTTCCGAGTTGACCGGATTCACGAGACTGGCCTGACTCTGATTGCAAAAGAACACGTTTCACCTCAAGGTTACTACTGGTAGGGCAGTCGGGGTCCTTGTGGGTAAGCTGCAGCTGCATCTCACTATCGACCCACGGCGTGCTGAAGGCCTCGCTCTGGTGACGGGACATATTGGGGACTAGAATATGCCATACCAGTATCAGTATGATACTAAAAACCCAACCGCAACAAACGAAAAAAAAAAATGCAAAAAAAAACAGCAATATAATCAATTCAGAAGCAAGGTCCTAACATCAGCACCCTACGAGTATAGCCTACGAAAAATCCTTAGTCTATCAATTTAAAATCTACAATGAAGGAGCAGGGAGAAGTGTTGGAAAAAACCAAGACCCTGTCCCGCCCGTCACTATATAAAAAGAATGACGTTTTCCTTGAAAACCCTACCCTTCCTAAAATTTGAAGAGTTAAAAAAACGAAAAAAACAAAAACAAGCCATATTCACATGGCGGCCGCCCCACTAGCGATTCTCGTGAGAAAAGAAAATCCATCAGGAGCCCTAGCTGTTATAATAATAAAAGGTGCAATGTAAAAACGATCTTGTTAGAAGTTGGAAAAGGTGCCACTCCTGCAGCGAGCGAAATTGATGGGGCGGATTGACATGTGTTTCGGTGGAATTCTTGAAGTGTGCTAAATTATGATATTTTCAAGTTTGAGTCCTGTGAATTGTGGGGGTGATAACCTGGCGCTGACCGGAATATGGACAGGTTTCCGATTCTCGGATCATTGTGTCCCTCCCCGCCCCTCAGCCGCAGCTGTCCCACTTCACTCCCTTCCCTCTTCCCTGTTTCCTCCTATGCGGTGGGGCACTTGCAATCAACACCCACTAGCAATTCGATTCGTTCACATAATACGTGGAAAAAGCGGCCCCTGGCTACTGTAAAATACCGGTACGTAGCCTCGAAACTGCCTCTTCCCAGAGATGTGGCTGTGCCAGGCACCATAGATATGATACTTTCCACGTCTCTGGTATCATACTCGCTGGTGACCATTAGTCATCCCACCTGTCCCATGCCGTTGTATGATAATTCCTTATCCTCTGTGTGCAAGCACGGCACGGCACTGAACTCCTCTATGCTCCTGGAGACAAGGTGCCCCGAACTCGGAGCCTGCGACCGCGGATTCATGTAAAGGTTGGTGAGTGTACCGGTACTGCACTCGCGTTACTTTAAGCTCTGCTACCCTATTCATCCCCGTCAAACTTGTCACTCTTCATTGTCGCCAACCCGCCCGCAACTCGCACGGATAGGGTGTGGTAGCCACAGGCACCGCAGCATAGCTCACAGGAAACTGGGGCTCCCCCTCATCATCCTCATCATCCTCATCAAGGCCAAGACTGCCTGCTACCATCGCCCACTGCACTGTTTGTCACTCCAGAACCTCTCGCTCACTTTGAAAACAGAACAAAAATGGTCCCATTAACCGGCTCCCTCGTCGAATACTCCGATTCGGATTCCGACAGCTCTCCCCCAGCTAAAGTGATCAAGACGACCCACCCAGCCCCAGCCACTAACCGGCCGCCCACTCCCACTTCCAAGCATTCAAAAGTATCCTCATCTAATTCGCTACCCCCACTTCCATCCCGTTTCCATGATCTCTACGCTGTTGCCCCGAGGGTGGGCCAGCAAGACGACCCTTTGCTTCACCGCGGAAGAAAGCGGTCCATGCCGCACGTTCAAGGGAACTGGCCAACTCATATCTTTATTGAGTGTATGTTTTTTTTTCTTCTAATATTCTGTTTCATTTCTCCCTTCTCTCTGCTTTCGATTTGAGAACCCCCGGGCCAAAGCAAAGCTGACGGGAATTGGAGGGCACTTGTCGCGCTCAGAATTCGATGTTCTTAATGATGCCTATCATACTGCATCTACCATTACCGCTGAAGCTGGCGTGAAACTTGAGAGCCATCTCGAAAGCGATCTGGGCAGCGAGCAACCGCTACACTTGAGCCTAAGCAGGCCCAACGTTCTTGCTACCGGGCAGAGGGAAGGCTTTCTGGAGCTCTTGAAAGATAGGCTCGATAAAACTAGAATCAAGCCGTTCGTCCCAACCACTTCCCACACAATTTCACGGAGCGGGATGTCTAACGGATGGGGGCCCAGATTCTCGGTAGAGTTTACAGGCTTTGAATTTGTGTGCAATAATGACCGAACACGCTGGTTTTTCGTCCTGAGAGCTACCAAGGGGGAGGATACACAGGTAACATCTCGCTTTGAACGCAGGGCCAGACATTACGCCGATAATTAACCATCACCACAGCTCCCTCGTCTGCTCCAATTGGCTAATCACACCTTTGAATCATTTGAACAACCGCCCCTGTATGCGGAAAACGGTGAGAAGCTTGATGGTTTTCATGTCTCACTTGCTTGGAGCCTTACGGAGCCGGGCAAAGACACGAAAACTAAGGTGTTTGAGGCGTTGAAGAAGCACGCCTACTGGGATAAAATCCTTGGCCAGAGTGAAGTTGAGAGACCAAAATTGTTTATCGATGCCATCAAGGTCAAGATTGGCAACGTTGTGCATGTAATCGAGCTAGGAAAGAAGGAGAAGCAAGGCGAGGCTGGGAATACCAAGAAGAGGAGGGCTTCGTATGATGTTCACGAGAAGCGCAGTGCTTGAAGGTAGGTCCTGATTTCCTGGGATGAATTAGCTACATAGGTCCGTGCATGCTCAAAAGCCCATCATGTACGGGATATTAAGTTGGAGAGTCTTTAATCGATTATATCACTTTCATGAATCCGTCTACGAGACTGTTAATTCCTCTCTCGTAATAGCAATAACACGTTCTCTCCTTCTCCTTGCATTCTGCAGAACATGAGCCAGATCACGGGCCCACCGTAAACCAGATCACAGGCCCATCGGACACCACGCCCTTGCGTTGATTCGACGCATATTATTCCATTATCCCGCCGACACGAGCTCAACATATCACGGGAGCCGAAGTAACCACCCCCTTAACAAAACCTAAATGCACCCCATACCGGCACAAACAGCAGATTTGTGCGGGGTTCTCTGGAGAGGCTCGTGAAACGGGTGGAATTGGTGTTGAGCCGAGACAGCCTATCGTGCACTCTTCTTATTTCTCGAGCATGTGGAAGGGCCCCCCGTTCCCGGGCACTGGTACAGTTTCGCGAGATGACAATTCGATTCCTTGGCATCAAGCATTGTGACTTCCATAACCCTATCCGATCTTGAGGAAACAGCGGTGAAATGAGGCTTCTGCCTGGACCAATTGGTGGAGATTTATAATGAGTTCATATTGAGATGCACCGCATCGGGGAGTCCATCGCTACCCACCCGCTCCTTAATTCATGGGCCCATCGTATCATACTTGTACCAGCCAATTTTTAAAGTATCCGGACCTCGGCGCCGAGACCGCAAACTTTTGTGCCAAGGTGTCCGGACACTTTATAAATCGGCTAGTACCGTACTTGTACCTTACTTTTTTTTTTTTTTTTTTTTTAATTCATATGCTTATTGATTCTGGTTCAAAAACGTACATGCACCTCGCGGTATGGCAATAGAAAAAACCTTAATTCCAGCGCACAACAATAAGGAAACATACCCAACGCAGCAGAATCTTCAAAACGGAGCAAGATAGCCCCTCGCATCGCCCACGATGACTAACAAAGTAAAGTAAAGAAATCCCTCCCACAGAGACTAACTCTGACTAGCAGCAGACACAAGAAAAGAAAACCTATACCAACTTCCTCACCCAGGTGCCCCCGAGCACAGAACCAGCAAGGAAAATAAAACTAATAAAAACTCAGGCCCCAGGGGGCCCTTGAATAGTGGAGCGCGGCGAAGAAGCCGGGGAGGCAGAGGGCGAAGCAGTATATGCGCGAATGGCAGGCATGTCGGGCGGGAAGCCCGTCGCAGTGGAGGAAATGTAACTGGCTAGCTGAAGAATCAGTGTTGCCGATGACCACATAGGGGCGTCAGGACCAAGGCTGTTGATGCCCTGAAGATGGGCTTCACGCTGCCTGGCCTTAGCCGGACAAAGGAGGATAGCATGTTCGAAGTCTTCATCGCCTTCTTCGCAGAAAGGACAGAGTGTAGGCTCGTCACTGGAATACCAAGATCTGTGGGCGGCCAGGTAACTTTTGCCTGACCGCATCTGATGGAGACGTCCTGCCACGAACCTCGGGAGGCCCATGAAGGCGTGGGGAGTAGTTGAGGGTTTGAACTTATACGGTTCCCTGGGAGGGCTGGATTTCGCCCATCCCACTAGGAGGGATCCTTTCAGTTCCGCTTTCAATGAGTGGTAAGAGGGGGAGCCTGGGGCTTCATAGGCCTTTGGTGCGATCAGGTGAGGACAAGCCAGTGGGAAAGCAGCTGGCAGTATGAACTTTATTGAGTGTATGGCCGCATCCAGTGGGAGGTGCTTGTAGTTGGAGGAGGGTGTAGAGGACCAGAGTGTAGGCATAGCACACCCCTTAAGGCCCTTGAGCAGACAACGATTCGAGGGAGCCCTCCATCGATCCCAGGTTGGGACCCCAGGATGGAGACGGGCCGTAGCAGGATTGACGGATGGGGGGGAGCATGCCAGCCTAAGAGCAGCAGCCCTTCGTTTGTGTAGCAGAAACTCCCCGAGTGGAGGGATAGCAGCCTTGCAGTGGAGGGCCGAGATAGGCGTAGAGGAGAAACAATTGGTCACCCATCGTAGGACCCGGTGCCAAAAAGAGTCAAGCTTTCTGAGCATTGTGGGGTTGGGGGCAAAAAAGTCACCCCCGAAGGTAAGAATAGGAAGCAAAAGGCCAACAGCGAGCTTGCGATTGCACCAAGGGGAAAGACCCCCCCCAGGGCTGCTGAGGCGACGAACCAAAACAAATGAGGCCTGGGCTAGAGCTAGGCGCCGTGTAAAGTGAGGAGTGGTGTCCAAAGTAGGGGTAAGCCAGTAGCCTAACCACCTCACTTGAGACCCAGGAGAAAAAACCAGGCCATTAAGGCCGACAGGCAAGGAGCATACCGGGCGTTTATCCCTAGGCGTTCTCCAGTGAAGAAGCTCAGTCTTTGGAACAGAAAAGGAAACCCCCAACCTCCGTCCTTCCCTCTCAAGAACATGAAAGTAAAACTGAAGGGAGCGGACATTCCCACGATAGGAAGGAGAAGCTACAGTAACAGAAAAATCATCCACATAAGAAACTATCAGGCCCCTCGGAATGAATCGGTGAAGTGAAGAAACATATATAACAAACAAAAGCGGAGAAATAGGTGACCCTTGCGGGGTACCAACGGAAACGGCAGAAAACACATCAGGAGCCCCTTGAAATACCAAGCAGCACTTGCGTTGAGACAGAAAAGAAGTCACCCATCCAACCAAGTAGGGCGGAACCTTCGCCCGGCGGAGGATGGTGGCGAGCTGATTCCTGTTGACATTATCAAAACCCCCTTTGATGTCTAGGAAAAGCGAGGAGACGCAGAGGCCCCTAGCTTGGAAAAGCTTAACCTCATGGGAAACTGTGGAGATAGCGTCGGAGCAGCTCAGGCCAGCGAGAGAACCGCACTGATTCAAACTCAGGAGGCCCTTAGAGCGAGCCAAGGAGGCGAGGCGCAGGGCTACAATCCGCTCAAGAATCTTTGACACCGTCTCGAGCAATACTATTATCCGGAAGGAAGAAGGTGAGGAATAGTCGGGTTTGCCGGGTTTATCAAGAACCACCCCGTTGGCTTTCTTCATTGAGGGCGGGTGGTACCCATGTGCAAGTAAGGGGTTAAGCAGGGTCAGGAGGAGACAGTCATTAGCACGGTGGATCCTCTTCCATACCCCATACGGGATAGAGTCAGGACCAGGGGCGGAGTTGGAAGACGATCGCCTGAGCACAGCAGACACTTCGGAGGACGTAATGTCCGGTACCTCGCGGAGAGGCGGGAGGAGAAAAGAGGCCCGGGGACCTGAGGGCGGTGCAGGAAAGAAATGTGACAAGAGAGCCGAGTTGATCTCTACTGGGGAGTGAGCATCGGGAAGCGAGGGAAACCTTGCCGGGGCACGCCCATAGGTGAACCTCTTGGCCGTCCATATAGACTGGGAGTCGACTCCAGAAAGGAATTTTTTCCAGTGAACGGCCTTGGCCTTGGCAATGGCTTTAAAATAGACGGATCTGCTCAGCTTAACCTGGGACTGAGGGATGATCTGGCGCCGAGCTGCACGTGCCAAGGAGTGGTATCGAAGGCGGAGTTCTGACAGGTCAGGTGACCACCAGGGTTTGGAGTAGAGCGATGGCCTCTTCAGGGGAGTAGCCCCCAGAGGGACAGAAGTGACGGCTTCCAGCGAGTTGTCAAACCATCTGGCCAGCGAAGACGATGTCGGGAGAGAGGGGGGAGACGGAACCACCAAGTCAGCAAGGATGGGGGCCACTATGTTCCAATCAGTGGCACTCCAGTTTGGTTGGGCATGATGTTCTTTAGCCGTTACCGGCTCCAGCACTATAGTAATGGGGATGTGGTCCGACCCAGTCGAGTGCAGAGGGGTGTCCCATGAAGCAAAGAAAGACAACAAAAGGTCATTGGCAAATGCCAAGTCAAGTACAGAGGGGCGATGTGCCACATTAAAGGGAAACCTGGTATAAACCCCAGGCGTGTTTAACAGGGAAAAAGAACAATCCGCCGCTCTCCGAAAATAAGGAACAGAGGTGGCAAGTTCAGAGCAAGAAAAAACCCGGCTAGGATCGGCCAGGGGGTGATGAATGTTGAAGTCCCCCACGGAGAGAGTGGGGAACCTATGCCTAGGAAATAATAAAGCAGGACTGATTGACCGCATACGGCCATCCTGAACAGCAACAGAATAAGAATTATACAAGCGAAACAACCTATGAGCAGACCCAAAGACACCATCAGGCGAGTGGAAGTCCACAGCCATCCGGTCCCCCTGGCCAAAAAACACCGGAAGAACAAAAATCCCTGGTGGCAGACGTTCTGAGACATACACTGCTACCCTAGACTTGTACAAGGGGGAAACAGGAGGAGCAAAACACTTATATGATTTAGCAGCTGGAGGGGAGCCCTTCCATAGAGGAAGGTCTTGAAGAGCAACAACAAGAGGAGAATTTTCAACCGACGTAAAAAAGGAAAACAAAGTATGAAAGACATGAATGCTGCCGAGGCAATTATGCTGGACACAGGAGAACTTAGCCGCAGTAGCGGCAGATGGAAAAGACAGGTGTGGTAAAGCATCTTGCGAAGGGGGTGCAGGTTGTACCTCCATTAACCAGCAAGGTCGTGGGAGTTGTCAACATCCTCTGCCCAATCGGCTGGGGGAGGAGGGAAAAGAGTTCTATGGGGCATAGGTGCTGCTAGCGGAGCCGAGGAGGAGGGTTGGGCTGGAGCATCGGGAAGCTGACCAGGGATTGTTGGCTGGAACTGTCGGGATGACTGCGGTGGGAACATTGCAGGAGGAAAGCGGCTGGACGACTGACCGCGTCGGACGGTCCCTGGAGGAGATGGAGAGCAGGCCTCGCGAGAGGGAGTAGTTGGGAGGAGCGGTGGGGACAGAGGATCACCCGCGTCTGGGAGGACATGGTCCCGGTTTGGGCGGGCCGCCTCGCGGATCCTAACCCTAGTCGGGCAGTCTGAGGAATAGGCAGGGTGGGGGCCTTGGCAGTTGACACAGCGGGCTGGAGTTGCAAGACAGCAATTCACCACTGGCTTGAGGTTGCCCTGGCCGGGGCAGGTAGAGCTTTCGCATCGGTGGGCCGCCTGAGCATGGGCTTGCGCACAGATTGGGCAGGTAGGAGAAGGCTGTTTGCAGAGAGGTTTAGAGTGGCCAAACTGGCAGCAGTTGCGGCATTGGGTGTCCCTAGCCGCCGGGTGGGCAGGGTGAACATTGCAGGGACGGTTGAAGAGGCGAATGCGATCGCCAAAGAGAGGGATATCAGAGGGCGAGACTGCTACCACCACCGAGGTAGTCAACTTTGTCGCGCGGAGGGCGGGGTCAGGCTGGAGGAAGTGGGCCTTAAAAATAGTAGCCCCAACCGCATACCCAATAGACTCTTGAAGCCGATCAAACAGATCTGCAGGGTCGCCTGGTAGCATTGAGACAGGAAGGTTGTGAATGAGGAGGTCGGTGTGGACTGGGGCAGTCCTGAATTCCAGGTGAGGGTTGTCCCCAATGGGAAAAAATTGGTTCAGCTTCGTCGTCAGGACCGAGAAGTATGGAGCATAGGAGGAGGCAGAGGTATGAGGGTCCGCGGTTAGAGTGACCGCCCCATTTTGGTTTACCGTTGCTGCCAG